TTTCCAGGAAGGTTCAAGAAACAACTGTTGGAAGCACACAAGGCCAAGTTTGATGAACTAATGAGACAGCTTGAGTGAAGTTGCCTTTCATCGACGCCTTGATGCTCATTCCACCTTATCAGAAATTCCTGAAGGATGCTGTTCAGCAAAGAACCAGGGAAGCACAAGGAATGGTAGTGTTGACTCGTGAGTGCAGTGCAATCATTCAGCGGAAGGTCATCTCCGACAAAAAGGAAGATCCGGGGAGTTTCACTTTGCACTGCATGTTGGGACCCCTATCTTTCAAAAACAGCCTCTGCGATCTAGGATCATCTGTCAGCCTCATGCCTTTGTCTGTAGCAAAGAGACTGGGATATCACAAGTATCAAGCCTGCGGAATCTCACTAGTCTTGGCAGATAGATCGATAAGGTTACCAACTGGAATGCTTGAAGACCTGCCTTTGAGGATAGGGAATGTAGAAATCCCCACCGACTTCATTGTGCTTGAGATGGATGAGGAACCAACAGATCCATTGATACTAGGAAGGCCATTCCTAGCTACAGCAAGAGCAATGATAGATGTCTGTGAAGGACAATTGAGCTAAACTTGGGAAAGGACCTAAGATGAAGTTTGACATCAAGGATACAATGAGGAAGCCAACAATAGAAGGTCAGCTCTTTTATGTTGAGGAAATGGATCAGTTGGCAGATGAGCTTTTAGAAGAGCTATCATTGGAGGATCCCCCTACAAGTTGCTTTGACCAAGGATTCTTCAGAAGGATATGTGAGCTCAGAAACCGAGGAATACTCGAAGCTCCTTGACACCTTCAGACCAGTTCCAAGCATTCTGAGCATTGAGGGGTTGGACAGGCCAGTTTGCGAAGTCATGGCAGTGAGCTCGATCAAGAGTCGAAGCCTCGAACAAACAACTCGATCGAGCTGGGGACTGAATGCAAGGAGCAAGCTCAAGGAGATTGGTCTGAGCTCAAGGCGCCTAAAGTCGACCTCAAACCTTTGCCTGAGGGCCTCAGGTATGCATTTCTGGGTGAAAACTCAACTTACCCTGTCATTGTGAACTCTGATTTGGAACCTGAACAGTTGAGTGCTTTGCTTGTTGAATTGAGGAAGTACAGAAAAGCAATAGGTTACACTCTAGATGATATCAAGGGAATCTCCCCTGACCTATGCATCCATAGGATTCATCTAGAGGATGAAAGTAAGTCAGCATTGAACCTCAAAGAAGATTGAACCCCAATCTAAAGGAAGTAGTGAAGAAAGAGATACTCAAGTTGCTTGATGCTGGGATAATCTATCCCATCAGTGATAGCACTTGGATATCTCCAGTTCATTGCGTCCCAAAGAAAGGGGGGATCACTGTCATAAAAAATGACAAGGAGGAGCTGATTCCCACTAGAACAATAGTGGGGCATCGCATGTGTATTGACTATAGGAAGTTAAATTCAGCATCTAGAAAGGATCATTTCCCTCTCCCTTTCATTGATCAGATGTTAGAAAGATTAGCAAACCATCCTTTTTATTGTTTTCTTGATGGTTACAGTGGTTTCTTCCAAATCCCGATCCACCCCAATGATCAGGAGAAAACCACTTTCACATGCCCTTATGGTACCTTTGCTTATCGAAGGATGCCATTTGGGCTGTGCAATGCCCCAGCTACTTTCAAGAGATGCATGACCTCCATTTTTTCAGATCTGATAGAGGAGATGGTAGAAGTCTTCATGGGATTTCTCAGTCTATGGAGCATCCTTCTCCTCATGTTTGTCAAACTTGTGCAGGGTGACATAAAAGTTGTGGACAAAAAGGGAGTGGAGAATGGAGTTGCTGATCATCTCTCTAGGATGCGAGTTGAAGACATAGTCCCCATCAATGATTCTATGCCTGAAGAACAGCTTATGGCAATCATGATCTTGAAAGAGTTTTGATGAGAAAGTCAGGCTGGAAGAAGTTAAGGCTCTGCGTGATGAGAATTTGCCATGGTATGCTGATATAGTGAACTTCATGGTGTCCGGAGAAGTCCCTAGTAGTTTGATGCTTACAAGAGGAAGAAGTTCTTCAAGGATGCTAGGCACTACTATTGGGATGAGCCTTACTTGTACAAGAGAGGACCAGATAGCATTTACAGGAGATGCATAGCTGAAGAAGATGTACAAGGAGTTCTAGAGCATTGCCATGGGTCTGCTTATGGAGGTCACTTTGCTACATTCAAAACCGCAACTAAGGTTTTGCAATCTGGTTTATGGTGGCCTACTTTGTTCAAGGATGCAGCAAGTTACATCGCCAAGTGTGATCCATGCCAAAGGAAAGGAGGGATCACCAAGAGGGATGAAATGCCACTAAACCCAATTCTAGAAGTTGAGATCTTTGATGTATGGGGAATAGACTTCATGGGACCTTTCAAACCTTCCTCAAACGGGCACAACTACATTTTGGTTGCTGTGGACTATGTGTCCAAATGGATTGAAGCCATCCCCTGCCCAGCCTGTGATGCCAAGGTTGTTATCAAACTGTTCAGAACCATCATCTTTCCAAGATATGGCATCCCAAGGGTTGTTATTTCGGATGGAGGTTCCCATTTCATCAACAAGGTGTTTGAGAAGTTGATGAAGAGTTATGGAGTCAAGCACAAGGTCGCTACACCCTATCACCCTCAAACCAGTGGGCAAGTTGAGGTCTCCAACAGACAGATTAAAGGCCATATTGGAGAAGACTGTGAGCTTCACTAGGAAAGGATTGGTCAGCAAGGCTTGATGAAGCACTTTGGGCTTATAGAACAGCTTACAAAACCCCCATTGGAAGGTCTCCTTTCAATTTGCTATATGGGAAGGATTGCCACTTACCTGTGGAGGTCGAATACAAGGCTTTATGGGCAGTAAAGATGCTGAACTTTGACATAAAGGCAGCACAAGAAAGGAGGGTAATGAACTTGTTTGAGTTGGAGGAAATCAGAATGAATGCCTATGAGAACTCCAGATCTACAAGATGAGAACCAAGGCAGCCCACGACAAACTGATTCGCCTTAAGGACTTCAAGGTTGGGGACAGTGTGCTCTTGTTAACTCCAAGCTAAGGTTGTTTCCCGGGAAGTTGAGGTCAAAGTGGTCGGGCCATTCAAGATACGAAGTTCTACCCTATGGGTCCTCACTCTGCTCAACAAGAGGGGAAAGAATTCACAGTGAAATGGGCATAGATGCAAGCCCTATCTAGGAATGACCCCCACAGAGGAGATCATCACTCCTCTAAGATCCAACCCCGGCCTAAAAGGTAAGGTCAAGCTATGAGACCTAAAACAAGCTCACTTGGGAGGAATTCCCATGTCTATCTTGTACATATTTCTCTTATCTTTTATCTCTGCGTTTTTCTTGCTAAGTCTTGCAGGAACAGGTTTTAGGAAGGAAAGGCAACCAACTCGAGGCACAACTCGATCGAGCCAAGAGCAAGCTCGATCGAGCGACGTGAACCCGGCGAGTGGAGCGCTCCTGATGGCCGTCTGCCCTCTCCAGACCACGACCTTGCCTCCCAGTTCTTTGGGGGCACTGAGGTATCAAACACCAACCCTTGTATATACCATTTCATATTTTCTTGCATTTGTTTTTTTTTTTTGGTTTTGCCCTCTTGAATCTTTCACTAAATTTTTCTCACACAAGGGACTGTGTGATTTAAGTTTGGGGGAGGGTTCAAGAGATGATTTAACCTTGTTTTCTTTGTTCTTAGTTTTTCATTTCTTTTGCATAGAAAAACCAAAAAAATCATAAAATTTTCAAAAAATCCAAAAATATTTTCATCTTTTTGCATTCATATTTGTTAGACTTGTTTAGGATTGCATTTTTCACTTGCATTGTTGATTTGACTTTGAAAACTTGTTCATCTTTTGCGATTTCTTGAGTGCCCTGTTTTTAGATTCTTTTGTGCATTAGGGTGAGATTGATTGAGCAGCAAGAACCATGTTTATCTTGATCATATCACTGCATGCACATCTCATTCAACCATTGCTGTGATTTGATGCATTTCCCTATCTATTTGAACCATAACTTGATCTTTAATTACCAATGCTTGCATTTGATTTCAACTCATGGCTACCACATACATATCTGGACATTCTTTACCTATTTTCATATCCCTTGCTTGTCCAGATAGCTGATCTCCATCTTTGAGACAGTTACCACACCTTAAACCTAAGCCTTTTCATTTCAAACCCCATATTATCTCTTGTGCGAATTGTGAGAACCTTTCTTGGCTTTGCTTAGCATAAGGTGTTGTGTTTAAACCGGCAGGGGCAGTAGTTCTAGTTGTCTAGTTCTCTTGGGATTGTTTTCAGGCTAAGTTTGGGGGTGCCAACTCGAGCTCGATCGAGTTGGGTGTCAAAAACCAGAAAAGTGGTAAAAGTTGGGAAAAACCAAAGGAAAAAGAGTTTAGTTAAGTCCAGGGAGTTGGCAGTGTTAAAAAGGGTCTAGTAAAGGTTTGGGAAGTTAAAAAAGGAAGTAAAAAGGGTTCTAAGTAGAATGAAAAGAAGGCAAAGCCTCAAGTGTCAAAAAGGAAAGAAAAGTTCCCTAAGTGTTTAGAAAATCCCAAACCGCTAGATGTTACCTCAAGAAGCCTCTCCCTAGGAAGTTCTTAAAAGAAAAGTGAGCAAAGCTCCTCAGTTTCAAAGGCGAAATGCCAAAAAGGGTAGTTAGGATTTTGTTCTAAAAAGCTCTAAGTGTTGAACTCGATCGAGTTAGGATTAGGCGGCTCGAGCTGCTGTTCTTGCATCATCTTTGGTTCTAACACTTAGCCTTCTGCCAAAGCAAAGCCACTTTCTTGAGAGATCCCTGTTACTAAACCACCATACAAAAGAGACCCTCTTTGTAATATCCCGCATCAAAGCTGAATTTTCGCCGCACAATCCCAACCCAATGGTCCGGATGGGATGATCAAATCTGAAGACGAAGAAAAGATAAAGCTGTTTCAAGAACGGTATGGCTGGGATAAGGAATTTCCGGACATTTCTGAGGAGTTAAGTGAGAGCTCAAAAGCATGGAAATTATGAAAGGATTAAAATAGGAAATTTTAATTCTCAAGCACGACGGGGACGAAACCCTCCGGAAGAGGAAACGTACAAAACCCTCCTCGAAAGGAAAGAGGCGGATGGAGCAATGGGATGACAACACCAGCTACTTGGAGATGATAAGAATAGTCTAACCCACTAAGGAGGCGACACCAGCAGCTACATAGGACGAAATTGTGCTGGACCAATCAAGTGTGAGCACTCAGCTGCTCATAATGGACGAAAATGTGTTGGACGAATCATGTCTCAGCACCCAACAACTTGAGAAAGGAGCCAATAGGGTGTAGCCACTCATTCCAGGAAGATAGGATCAAGGAAGTGATGATCATCTTGAATGGACCAATCAGGTTCAGCTACCCAGCAGCTTGGAAAATGGACCAATGGAAAGGTGCCATTCAAGTTGAGTGGATAATGATGGAGGGAGCTGCTGTAGGCGTGCCTCAACACCATTGGTCCACACAGGGGAAGAGGTGGCGCCATTCTGGTGGAGGAGATCACTCACCTGCTTCACTTCCCAGCCTATAAATAGGACCCGTGGCCTCATTTCCAAACCACACCAAAATCAGAAAGAAAGAGAGAGAAAGTAGAGAGAGAAATGGAGTGAGAGGGAGGACGCCTAGAAGAAGAAGAAAGAGGAGGAGGAGGAGAAGAAGAAGAAAGAGAAGAAGAAGAAGAAGAAGAGCAGGAGCGTTCAGGCAGAAGCTTAGGGCAAGTCGGCGGTTCAGCAGTAAACCTGGAGTAGTAAACCTAGGCTAGAAACCGTTCAGCCAAAAGCACTGTGAGTTGTGGTGATATTTGATTGCTTGTTAGGAAATGTTAGATTGCTTGATTGATTGATTGATAGTTTGATTGTAAGTTGTGGTGATGTTTGATTGCTTGTTAGGAAATGCTAGATTGTGTGCTTGATTGATAGTTTGATTGTGAGTTGTGGTTATGTTTGATTGCTTGCTAGGGAATGCTAGATTGCGTGATTGATTGATTTCTTTGATTGCTTGATTGTTTGATTGATTGCTTGATATTTATTGTTTGATTGATTGCTTTGATTGTGTGGTTCTTTATTATGATGCTTGTTTGTTAGATCTTGTTTATTGTTATCATATTGCATGTGTGATATACCTCTAATTTACCCACTTTTTATACTGTTTTAGCTAATGGTTTTTGGCAGGTTTTCTATCTAAAAAGGTAGTTTTACTGTGTTTATAGTGTCTAGAGTCTAAACAGGTGAAATGATGCATTTTGGAGCAAAACCATAGGATTTGCACTTCAAGCAGCTCCATGCACAAGCACCAACTTTAAGAGGGCCCAGAAAAAGATCTACTCAATGGATTTCATCAAGACCAGTTCCCTGCGTGCTCTGATTGAGTTAACTTTCCAACGCAACTGGAATGGCCATTTGGATGAGTAGAAAAGGAGTTATAACCAAAAGAGTGAAGACTGTCCAGACGGCTCTATCGAGAATCAGCGCCCAAACCGCGCAGTCCGGCTGGCCGAGAAACATGTTCGCGCTCGGCCAAAGTCACATCCGTCCGACTGAAGTCTCGGCCAAAGTTCCAAACCGACCGGCCGATCACGCAACGACCCGGGAAACATTGTCCCGCGGTCGGCCAAGCTTCAAACGCCACGCCACGCCGCGCACGACCAAAGCGCGCGAGCCGGGAAACAAGCCTCGCGGCCGCGCAACCCGTTGCGTACCACGGCCGATGCATCCGTCCGAGCCGGGAAAGAACGTCCCACGTCCGGCCGAGAAACCATCGGCCAAATCTCATCCGCCGACCACGCCGGCCGACCGTGAATCCATCCGACCACGACCGTTCCGACCGGCCGACCACGACCCGACTGTCCGGCCGATCGTCCCGACCGACCGTCCCAACGCCGCGGTCGACCCGAAGCCCGTTTTGAAGCCCATTTCATATTTTCAAGCCCGGCTTAACCCTAGCCGCCTCTAAAAGACCTAGCACTATATATATATTTTTAGCCTCTTGTGAAAGAGAGCCGCCCTGTATTTCGATTTCCTACTCTAAGTTTTATTGCAATCATGTTTTCTTCATCTCTATGTGTGTTTGCTTTGATCATGTCTGAGTAATCCACTAGTTAGGTTGCTAGGGTTACTATTCAATGAGTTGCTTGCATGATCTTTGATTTCAATGATTAGCTAGGGATTATATTAGAGTCTTTGTCTCGTCTTGTGCACTTAACTAATGCTGATTGCTTTACCGCGCATCTAGTAATCCGATCTTAGGTTGATTTGAGCCTCGACAGTGCTGTATCATTCGCCGGACATATTCTTTGACAAGCTAGGTTTCTTAGACTGCGAAAGTTGATCTATCTATATCTAGTGAACTGTATCAGAACCTATTCATTCTAATGCTTGATCTAATCACCTAGGGACATACCAAAAGTTTAGCGACTAGGTAGATTAGCAAAGGAGCCGGAGCCTCGAAAGTGGAATGGTTTTATATTCGTGATCTGTGTTCTAGATGGTTCTTAATATCCCAATATCCCTAATCAATTAATCTATCATTGTTTCATTGATCATTGCTTGCTTCTCTGCGATAGCCCCTATGACCTAGCGCTTTTCCTTTATTGATTTACAACCTCGTTATACTTGCTAGTTCGGTTCACCATTACAACCTCAATCATACTTTTGTTTTAGCTTGATCCAAAATCCATAGTTTCAAAGTGTACTCAATAGCCAGTCCTTGTGTTCGATACCCATACTTCCGCGATCTGTGCACTTGCAGAGGTCTAGGAGTTTGGTAAAACCTGACTCCGCATCAAGTTTTTGGCGCCGTTGCCGGGGACTGCAGCAGTACCTTTGGAACTCGACTAGGATCTAGTCTAGAACCTTTTCCTGTTTTGCTTTTCTTTTGCTTTTGAATTTTTAGTTTTTGATTTCCTTTTCTTTGATTTTTGCTTTTGTTTTTGTTTTTCCCTTTTGATTTAACTTGTTTCCAAGACTCTTTTCAGGTGCATGACTAGGAGGTCCAACAAGGACAACCTAGTTGAACATCCAGAGATAGACAAGCTTGAGAAGCAACTTAGGAAGCAGAAAGCCCAAGAGATGGCCGACGAAGCAGCTCGCGCTCACGCCGCTGAAGTGGCGCGCGCTCAAGAAGAAGGAAGAGATCCACCTCCTCCTCCTCCTAATCCACAAGACCCTGCTGGAGATGTGAATGCACAACCCAAGCTGGAGCACCTACAATCGGAGACTATGACTCTGCCGATGCTTTCTTCATGGATAGAAACCCTATCCATCCACCACTTCCTGCAAGGAATGACTATGAGATCAAGCCTCAGATCATAGCATTGGTTAGACAGAACCAATTCAATGGACTTCCAGCTGAGCACCCTCTTGATCACATAGAAAACTTTGAAGAAATTTGCAGCACTACAAGATCCAATGGAGTCTCTGCTGACTACCTTAAGTGCAAGCTCTTTTCATTCTCTCTTGGCGACAAAGCTTCAAGATGGTTGAAGTCTCTGCCAGCTCACTCCATCACCACTTGGGATGAGTACAAGGCTGCATTCATCAACCACTTCTACACCAAACAGAGATCAATTTCTGTGAGGAACAAGATCTCCAACTTTCGCCAAGCCAACAATGAATCTTTCTATGAGGCGCTAGACCGATTCAAGGAGTACATTAGGGACTGCCCTAATCATGGTTTCAATGAGGGAAACCTATGGAACATCTTCTATCGTGGCATAGACCACAAGTACAAGCTTTCATTGGACACAGCAAGCAATGGAAACTTCATGACCAAGACTGTTGATGAAGCTAAGGTTCTTATTGAGAATCTTGCAGCTAGTGATTGTAACAACTGTCCTGATTATGACCGCTCAAGCCGCACCACTACTAGCTCCCCTGATTCTTTTCAAATGACTGAACTCAAGAACATGATGGCTCAAGTTCTTAAGGGACAGCTCAAGCATATCAATGCAATAGAAGGGATGAGTGATGCTAATGAAGACCATCAAGAGAATGCATGGGAGATTTCTCTAATGAAGCCAATGAAGAAGATGTGAACTACATTGGAAACTATGGGAACAAGGGATACAATCCAAGCTATCGCCCAAACCCCAACATGTCTTATAGAAACCCCAATGTGGAGAATCCTCAAGACCAAGTGTATCCTCCAAGGTATCCACAACAACAAAGACCTCCTTACCAATCTCAAGGAAGTCAATTTCAGCCAAGGCAAGGATATGAGCAGAGATCATCATATCCACCCAAGGAGCCATATGCTTCTTCACCAAATCAAGCTCCTCCAAACCAACAAGGTGGGAGATTTGAAGGAATCCTCCAACAGATCATGGATGGCCAGAAGAGAAACACTAAAGAGATGTATGAGAAGATGGACACTTTGTTCAGCAATCTCAACACCAAGTATGATGCTGTTGCCACTCATGTGAAGAAACTAGAGACTCAAGTCACTCAAACTATGGAAGCTGTTAAGAGACAGGAAGCTGAATCCAAGAAGTCCTTTTGCAACTCAGCCGCCATAGAAGAAAGATTTGAAGACCAAGTTCCAGAATGGATGCTTTCAAAACCTACTGTTGATTGCATGATTTGGCCTGAAGAGAATTACCCAGAGAGAGAGTCCAATCGAGCTAGAAAGAGAAGACTCTTCCCAAAGATTATCCCCAAGACTGATAACTCAGGAAAGTTTGTGTGCCTTGTATCATCAAAGGTAACATTCTTGAGCAATCTTTGTGTGACACAGGAGCCAATGTGAACATCATGTCTAAGAGGATAGCTGACAAGATAGGCCTCACCAAGATAGAGCCATCATCCATCTCCATCAACTATGCTGATTCATTCTCACAAACACCCTATGGCTTTGTGCCTAATGTGATGGTGCAGATTGGAAATTGCTCTATCCCTACTGATTTCCAGATTGTGGAAATGAGAGAGAGTAGCCATAGACCTCTCATATTTGGAACCCCTTTCCTGTCTACTGTGGGTGCCATATTTGATTTCCCCAATCAAAGAATCTCTTTCAACAAGGTGAACAAGGGTATGTTCTTCCCTATGTGTTCAACAAAGAACTCTTTTGTTGACATGGTCCAAGAGGAGAAAGCTACTTTGAAGCCACCCCAAGAAGGAGAAACTGAAGAAACAATCAAGGAAGATCCCATTCCTAAGCCCAAGCAGCTTGCCAAACAAGCAAGGAGTAAGACTAAGGCCCCTACACCAAAACCGCCCAAGGGATCAACCAAGATTGAAGATGAGGCCAAGCCAAGAAGGAAGGTTAGAAAACCTAGGTCTGGCCGCAACATGAAGCTTCTATTCCCAAAGGAGCTTATTGATGAGAATCTAGAAGGATTCAAGGAGAGAGTGACAAGAACTCTAAAGCTTTTTCCTAAGGCAGTAGTGCCAAGGGACATTCATGGAGAGATTGTCTATCCAGCTGTGAATCACCCACCAGATACTCATTGCAAGGAGAAAAGACTTGGAGGATCAAAGATGCCTCTTGTCTCCATCTTCTCCTGAGCGCCAAGCCTTACAGTCAAGCTAAAGACTTAAAACAAGCGCTGCATGGGAGGCAACCCATGAGGTACTTTTACTTTTCTTTCTTTAATTTTCTTAGTTTTTGTTTTGCTTTTGTGTTTTCTTTGTTTTAAGATAGGATAGAAGGAGAAAAAGGTGTGAAAACACAATCCGCGCCAAAACATTGGCCGCGGACGCGCAAAAGTGATTTTTGGCCGAGCAATTCTCATTCTGGCCGACCACGGTCGAGCCGGGAAGGAATAGCTCGTGCTCGGCCGGATTCACTATTGCGCGACAGAAACCGTTCGCGCGGCACGCACGAACCGGGAAAGATTAGGCCGCGATCGGCCGAAATCTCTCGGCCATAACGAATTGGCCGACCAAACCGCTCGACCGCGACAAATCCATCGGCCATCGGCCCAAACTTTTCTAGGCCAAGGTAAGTCCCCTTTTCATTTAATTCAAACCGGTTTTAACCAATCTAAACCAACTTAAACCGGTTTTCAATCAAAATTCGAATTTGAAAAGGAAAATTGATAGGATTTAGATCTTATTTACTTCACCTTTCCCTTGAAAACCACAAGAACCTCTCTTTCTTCTCCAAAACCCTAAACTCCATTAGAGGAACTCTAAGAGTTTTGATTTCAAAACTTTTACTGTTCATAACTCTAAATTGGAAATTACTTGCTCTTGCAACCCTTATTCACTTTTCAACACACAAGGTATGTCTTCTAACTCTAATCCTATGTTTATGCAAGATCGAAAATTTCAATAAGTTTCATGTTTGGTCTAAACTCTTGTCTAGACTTGAAATTAGCATCCTTATAGTCTTGTAATGAACTTTGCTAGGTGGAACCTAGGTGGTTTAGAGTTAATTTGAAGTTTAATTTCACAATTGAATAGTTTTTCACAAAACTTATTGGGCATTCCAAACCCCTTATTCAAAGGTGAAATTGCTTGGGCATACTTCAATTCATTAGTTTATCTAGTGATTACTTGGATTAGAAACTCAATTTCTCTTGATTTGCTGAAAATTTTGATTTTAAGCACCATAATCTTGGGATAACAGTAAAATGGCAAAGACAAAAGGAAATGAGAGTATGAAGAAGAAGAAGAACCCATTCATGCAACCTCCAAAAAATCCCTTCTCGAACCATGAAGTGGCACTTCTCCCAGTTGAGTACTAGATTTGTCTCCTCACACCTCTGCAACACCCTGCACAAGTTAGACAAACATGAGGAGAAGGATGCTCCATAGACTGAGAAATCGTCCATGAAGACTTCTACCATCTCCTCTATCAGATCTGAAAAAATGGAGGTCATGCATCTCTGGAAAGTAGCTGGGGCATTGCACAGCCCAAATGGCATCCTTCGATAAGCAAAGTACCATAAGGGCATGTGAAAGTGGTTTTCTCCTGATCATTGGGGTGGATCGGGATTTGGAAGAAACCACTGTAACCATCAAGAAAACAATAAAAAGGGTGGTTTGCTAATCTTTCTAACATCTGATCAATGAAAGGGAGAGGGAAATGATCCTTTCTAGATGCTGAATTTAACTTCCTATAGTCAATACACATGCGATGCCCCACTATTGTTCTAGTGGGAATCAGCTCCTCTTTGTCATTTTTAATGACAGTGATCCCCCCTTTCTTTGGGACGCAATGAACTGGAGATATCCAAGTGCTATCACTGATGGGATAGATTATCCCAGCATCAAGCAACTTGAGTATCTCTTTCTTCACTACTTCCTTTAGATTGGGGTTCAATCTTCTTTGAGGTTCAATGCTAGACTTACTTTCATCCTCTAGATGAATCCTATGGATGCATAGGTCAGGGGAGATCCCCTTGATATCATCTAGAGTGTAACCTATTGCTTTTCTGTACTTCCTCAATTCAACAAGCAAAGCACTCAACTGTTCAGGTTCCAAATCAGAGTTCACAATGACAGGGTAAGTTGAGTTTTCACCCAGAAATGCATACCTGAGGCCCTCAGGCAAAGGTTTGAGGTCGACTTTAGGCGCCTTGAGCTCAGACCAATCTCCTTGAGCTTGCTCCTTGCATTCAGTCCCCAGCTCGATCGAGTTCGTTTGTTCGAGGCTCGACTCGATCGAGCTCTTGATCGAGCTCACTGCCATGACTTCGCAAACTGGCCTGTCCAACCCCTCAATGCTCAGAATGTTTGGAACTGGTCTGAAGGTGTCAAGGAGCTTCGACTATTCCTCGGTTTCTGAGCTCACATATCCTTCTGAAGAATCCTTGGTCAAAGCAACTTGTAGGGATCCTCTGATAACTCTTCTAAAAGCTCATCTGCCAACTGATCCATTTCCTCAACATAAAAGAGCTGACCTTCTATTGTTGGTTTCCTCATTGTATCCTTGATGTCAAACTTCATCCTTAGGTCCTTTCCCAAGTTTAGCTCAATTGTTCCTTCACAGACATCTATCATTGCTCTTGCTGTAGCTAGGAATGGCCTTCCTAGTATCAATGGATCTGTTGGTTCCTCATCCATCTCAAGCACAATGAAGTCGGTGGGGATTTCTACATTCCCTATCTCAAAGGCAGGTCTTCAAGCATTCCCAGTTGGTAACCTTATCGATCTATCTGCCAAGACTAGTGAGATTCCGCAGGCTTGGTACTTGTGATATCCCAGTCTCTTTGCTACGACAAAGGCATGAGGCTGACAGATGATCCTAGGTCGCAGAGGCTGTTTTTGAAAGATAGGGGTCCCAACATGCAGGGCAAAGTGAAACTCCCCGGATCTTCCTTTTTGTCGGAGATGACCTTCCGCTGAATGATTGCACTGCACTCACGAGTCAACACTACCATCCCTTGTGCTTCCCTGGTTCTTTGCTGAACAGCATCCTTCAGGAATTTCTGATAAGGTGGAATGAGCATCAAGGCGTCGATGAAAGGGCAACTTCAGCTCAAGTTGTCTCATTAGTTCATCAAACTTGGCCTTGTGTGCTTCCAACAGTTGTTTCTTGAACCTTCCTGGAAAGGGTAGAGGGGGTTTGTATGGTGGTGGTCCTGATGGAGTGTCTTTCTTCTTTGCAACAGGTTTAGTTGGTTGGCTGGAGCTTGCTTTGTCTGTTTCTTCTGGCTCGATCGAGCTCTGGTTTGTCTTGCAGTCTCGGTTTCTCCAGCTCGATCGAGTTCTGGTTCAGGGTTTTGTTCCAGCTCGATCGAGTTCGGTGCGGTTATCAGCATACTCGACTAAATCCTCCCCTTCCTCGTCATCGATGTCCACAGCGATTTGGGGTGGGCTACTCCTGCTTGGGAATTGCGCCCACTTCTTAGTGTAACTGCTTGGGCATACTCTTGTGGTGAAGAGGATGATGCACTTGAAGACTCAATGATTTGGACTCTTGAAGTCAATGACTCAAGTTTGAGTTTATCTCAACCAGCTTGTTGTTCATTTCCAGTGAACCTTTGGCTTGCCCTTGTAAGTTGTTGGAGCATTTCCTTCATATCCCAATCTTGAGTTGGTTGGGTATGAGTAGTCCTTGGTTGAAGCCTGGTGGAACACTTGTTGTTGCGTCAGGGGGATGGTGGATATGTTGTTGTATGCCCTGTTTTGTGAGGATTCCTATAGCTTCCTTGTCTATTTTGAATATAGCAAACTCTTGTTGTTCTCCTCCCCTTCCTGGTCTTGACTAGAGCTTTGCTGAGACATAGTTGACATGCTTGGCAGGGAATTGGGCTAGGATCAGTTTATCCAACTTCGATTCAGTGCAAGCATCTTTTCTCATCTTTTCCACTCGATCGAGTGCGCGGTCGATCATACTCTCTCCATAGCACTTCCATTGATATGGCCATGTTCTCCACAAGTTGCCAGCCATCATCTACATCCTGGTTGAGGAAGTTCCCATTGCTAGCTGTGTCTAGCATCTCCCTATACCTAGGCAAGCATCCTCTATAAAGAGTGGAGAGTAGTGATTCATTGTTGAATCCATGGTGTGGGCACTGACTTGTGTAGCCTTTGAACCTCTCCCAAGCCTCTGCGAATGTCTCATTGTTTCGCTGGATGAAGCTGGATATCTCTCCTCTAAGCTTGGCTGTGCGACCGGTGGAGAAAAACTTAGCAAGAAAGGCCTTCTTGCATTCATCCCAAGTGGTGATTGTGCCATGGGGCAAGCTCTTCTCCCATTGGTGAGCTTTGTCAGCTAGAGACATAGGAAAGAGTCTCAGCTTGATGGCATCTTCAGAGACACCATTGATCTTTGTCAAATCACAAAGCCTATCAAACTCATCAAGGTGGTCAATGGGGTCTTCACTTGGCAATCCATGGAACATCTTGTTCTGGACAAGGTTGATCATTCCCAGCTTGATCTCAAAGTTGTGGTTCTGCACTGGTGGTGGAACAATCCCTTGTCTCTGTTGGTGGCGGTTTGGAGCATCTCCTTGACCAATCGGTCGAGTTTGCCTAGCTCGACCGAGTCCATTGCCCAAAGGGTTTCCATTCCCCTCTGGTACATCCATTGTATCAGCAACAAGCACCTCAGGTTCCTCTTGTACCCTCTGTGACCTCTGAACCCTCTTTCTACCCGTTGTAAAGTCTAGCTCGACCAAGTCTTCTGTAGACCGACTCGATCGAGTTCGCATACACCTGCAAAAAGAGACAAAAACCCAGCAGTACAATAGAACAGGGGTGGTATAGCTTGATCGTCCAAGTGTTTTGAAACTCAAATGCAACAAAAATATTCCCAAATCGGCAACGGCGCCAAATTGATGATAGGATTTGTGTGTGGATGTGAAAGATATGAAATGAGATGTGGTGGAATGCAACAGTGGTATATGATGAGGTGGTAAGATGCAAACACAAACACAGTCAACAATTCCCTTTAACCATGATAGTCAGTTATAGCATAAAGGGTTATCAATCCAAAATGGGAAATTGTCACTCTATGAGAATATGAAACAACCAAGGAAGTCAAGCAAGCAGTAAAGATATGGGTAACACTAACAACCTAAATGAAACAGAAATGAATGCAGTAAAGTAAATAAAGCAGTAGAGCAACAGCTCGACCAAGGACTCGAGTCGAGTGGAACAGAGTACCGAGCTCGATCGAGTTTAGGGTCGAGTTGAGTAAAAAGCTAAAGGCAGCGACTTTAACAAGCTAGAGCGAGAATTAGGGTTCAAGACAGGGTTTTGCAATCAGGAAGCTACACTTAATCATCTGCTCTTAAAACTCCTTGTATCAAGGCTTCTCTTGATATTGGGCTTCTCAATGCCTAGCCAACCCTTTCCCAAGGTGAAGGCTATCAACCAAGGAATGATCTCAGAAACAGGGGGTTAGCCAGTGAGAATCAAACCTTGGAGGCCATAGGATCATTGCCCAAACTAATCCATCCAACCCCTTAGACCTCTATTTCTAGAGCAAGAGATATTGGAGCTCTTAGTGGACTTTTCCAGCGATTTCCATCACTTCCATGTGGAGAATCGCCTAAGGACATACAAGCCAGGGGTAGTGGTCATGTAGCCTTAAGATTTCCAAAAGAGAGAGAATCTAGATTAAGACCATAAGCAAGAAGGATTAAGCATATGAAACCTCTAATCTATCCCATCTCAAACCCTAATGGGTAACTACTCACTACACATGAATGTAAACACAAGCAAATGCAATAAAAGAGACATCATAAGAAAGAGGAGATGAAATAAACAACTTTTATTGAAATAAGCAAGTGCAAATACAAAAGAGATTATCCAGGATCTAGGATTCAAGAAGCAAGAGCTTCAAGAACACAAAGATGGGATTAGAGCTCTAAAAAGTAAAAGACAATAATTAAAAGAAACTAAAACAAAAGTAATCTAAAGCTTGGTGGTTTTTTCGTGGCTTTTAGCCTTAAATACAAAGAGGATTAGGTTTAGGGTCAAAGGAAAGTCAAGGGGGAAGCAACATTTTTCGGGTTTGACTGTTGACTTCTCAGCTCGATCGAGTTGAAGCTTGGCCGGTCGAGTTCAAGATGGCTTCTTCTCTTCTTTGCGTATCCAGTTGAGCTGCGTCCATGTGCCAAGTCCCTCCATGCTCCTCTGTCCCATATGCTCCAGAATGCTCCAAAAGACCTATTTCAAAGGACCAAACATGCATATGTATGCAAATGCAACCTAAAACTACTATGAATGCATAAGAAGAGAAAAGGAACAAGATATGATGCTAATGGATGCTAAAACTATGCAAAAGATGTACTAAAACTATGAAAATGCAAGTACATCAACACCCCCAAACTTGACCTTTGCTTGCCCTCAAGCAAACAAATAGAACAAGAAAGAGATGAGGTTTGAAAACAAGTTGATTCAACACTTAAAAACATGTCCTCAAAAGCGATTTGCTAAATGTCCAACTTAGAGATTCTAGAATGCAACAAGGTGAGAGATATTCATTTAAGATTTAACCATGCTTATCAACATCAATCCCACTTCACAGTCACTCAAACAATGCATTCAAATCAGCAAATCCCTTTAACATTCATTAAGCAAAAACAGTGAACCAAAAACATGCAAGATCAATCAACTCATTTGGTTTCAAGGGTTTATGGGTTAAGAGACAAAGAGGGTCTCTTTTGTATGGTGGTTTAGTTAACAGGGATCTCTCAAGAAAGTGGCTTTGCTTTGGCAGAAGGCTAAGTGTTAGAACCAAAGATGATGCAAGAACAGCAGCTCGAGCCGCCTAATCCTAACTCGATCGAGTTCAACACTTAGAGCTTTTTAGAACAAAATCCTAACTACCCTTTTTGGCATTTCGCCTTTGAAACTGAGGAGCTTTGCTCACTTTTCTTTTAAGAACATCCTAGGGAGAGGCTTCTTGAGGTAACATCTAGCGGTTTGGGATTTTCTAAACACTTAGGGAACTTTTCTTTCCTTTTTGACACTTGAGGCTTTGCCTTCTTTTCTTTCTACTTTTTTTTTTTTGACAACCAAACACCATATATTACTTAAGAATTTCCAAAGAGGTTAGCTTCGTGGGCTAACCAGGATGGGATCAAAGAGTTTACATGGGAAAAAGACACTCCATGTGCTCGTGCTCCTTTAGAGAGACAATCGGCACGGACGTTAGAAGAACGTGGAATAAATGATAGTACGAAAGAGTTAAAACATGAACGTAAAGATTTGAATTCTTCGATTTCAGTAGCCAAGGCAGGCCACTCCTCTTCTTCATCAATGAGCTTTGTAAGCAAAAAACAGTCTGTTTCAAACCTGATTGAGAGGCATCCCATCTGTTTTATTGTATCCATTGCCCATAATAGTGACACAAATTCTGCGTGTAAGGGAGACATGACGTTCTCCATTGCTGTCATTCCAAAAACTGAATGACCATTGTCTTTATCAAAGACAAAACCTCCACCAAACAGAGCGCTCCCTTCTATCCATGATGTGTCGACTTGACATCTCGGCTATGCAAGGTCCGGTCCATCACTTAGGACAGGGCTTAATTGCACGATAGTTCCACTCATGGTTTTCTCCACTAACTGAGCGACAGACCAAATTTCTGCCTCTGCTTTAGCTAGTTGAAGAGTGTTTGTTGGCAGTATCTCTCTGTTTTTGAAAACCTTTTCATTCCTAGCCTTCCATAAGTACCAGAGGATCCACGGGAAGCTCATAGTGATTTTTTCTGCTATTCCTGTTTCTTGCGCACGCCAGAGCAAGTAGTCAAAGTTGCTATTCAGAACCGTACACGGGAATATACCCGGAGACTGAGGAAAACCCGATTGATTCCAGACTTGTAAGGCTTTCGGGCATTCAAATAAGAGGTGGTTGACGGTTTAATCTTCCTCGTTACAACGTGGACAGGTGCGTTCAGTTCCACAATGTCGATCCACAAGACGATCCCGAACCGAGATGTAGCCCGTTAATGCTTGCCACATAAAGTGTTTAATTTTTCGGGAGGTTTTGATCGACCATGCTTTCTTTCTTAACGCATTAGTACTGGGTTCCCGAACATATTGGCTCTCCTCTGTATCCTTTAGTTCGGATGCCAACAAATATCCAGTTTTAACAAAGTAGAGACCTGATTGTGTATACCCCCAACAAAAGCTGTCGGTTTTATGACGTTTTCTTATCTTGATGCTTTTAATCAATGGTATATCCTTTGGTGCAAAAAGTCGATGCAAGATTTGATTGTTCCAATCCTTTGTTCTGTGGTCGATGAGGTTCTTTACCAAGAGATTTGGGTCTTGGTAGCTGTTTCTGCTCCTTGGAGGTCTCGGTGGGCAAGTCGGAATCCATGCCTCGCTCCATACAAACGTATTTGCACCCGATCCAATCGTCTTTCTCAAACCCGTTTTTAGTAAGTCTCTCGAAGCCAGAATGCTAGACCATCCAAACGAAGGTGAGTTTGGTTTACCTACCACCAGAGGGTTCGTATGCCGATAGTATCTTTCTTTTAGGATTCGTGCTAACAGAGATGATGGATAATGTATTAGTCTCCATAATTGCTTCGCAAGTAAAGCGAGATTAAAGTTCGTAAGGTCACGGAAGCCCAGCCCGCCTTTTTCAAAGGGTAAGCATATCTTATCCCATGCTACCCAGTGTAAACCTCGACCGTTTTGTTTTGAACTCCACCAGAACTTTGCAATGGCGCCCTGAATTTTCTTGATGATATCTTGTGGTAAAAGGAAGCAAGACATCACATATGTGGGAAGGGCTTGAGCGACTGATTTAATAAGTACTTCTTTGCCCCCGTTTGACAAAAGTTTGGATGACCACGAATTTATCCTCTTGCTCAGTCGGTCTAAAATAAACGCAAATGCTTGTTTCTTTGATCCACATATTTTTTCTGGTAAACCCAGGTACATTCCCATACCACCTTCTTTGGAGATTCCTAGTGCGAGTTTCAGCGATCTGCGTGTATCCGGAGGTACCTTACTTCCGAAAAAAACTGATGATTTAGAGACATTCAGTTCCTGGCCTGATGCTTTCCCATAACATTTGATGATACGAATTAACTCTGCACATTGCAGGACATCAGCTTTACAGAAGAATAAACTATCGTCGGCAAAGAGGAGATGGGAAATGGAGGGGCAGTTTCGTGCTATTTTTAACCCTGTGATGCGTCCTTCCGCTTCCGCTCCTCGAAGTTGAGCTACTAAAGCTTCCGTAAGAATGATAAATAAGAAAGGGGACAATGGATCCCCTTGTCGTAGTCCTCTCGACGGGTTGATATGACCTTTTGCTTCGCCGTTGATTAGCACTTGGTATGACACAGAAGAGATACATGCGGTTATCCAGGAGATCCATTTCTCGTCAAAACCCAATTTTCGCATGAGGCCTATTAGGAATGTCCATTCTACTCTATCGTAGGCCTTACTCATGTCCGTCTTAATCGCTACGAATTTAGCTTTGCATATGGGGTTCGTCCTTAGTGCATGGAAAGCTTCCTGAGCGATAAGGATATTATCGGTGATGAGTCTACGAGCCACAAAGGCTGATTGTGTCTCCGATATCAACTTCGGGAGAAATCTTTTAAGCCTGGTGCATAAGATTTTTGATATGATTTTATAACTCACATTGCAGAGGCTTATAGGTCTAAATTCCTTCATATCTCTTGGACGTTCCGTTTTTGGGATAAGACAAATGTTTGTCTCATTCATCCTTGGGTCAAAGTGATCAGAAGAGAAAAACTCTTTAACCATACTTATAATATCGTTGGCTGTAACGTCCCAGAATTTTTAAAAGAATAGACTTGTCATACCGTCAGGTGCTGGGGCCTTGTCCGGATTTATCTCCTCTATTGCTTTTTTAATCTCCTCATTGGTAGGGAAGCGGGTAAGAGCTGTGTTGATATCAGGGGTTACTTGCGCGGTAATATACCGGAGAGCTTCCTCAAAATCATTGGGCTGGGATGTTGTAAAGAGATCTTTGAAATATTCTGTTGCCACCTTTTCTATCCCTTCGTCAGTTTCTGCCCATGACCCATCAGCTTTCTTGAGTTTTGTGATACGGTTTCTAGCTCGACGTTGTTTAGTCGTTGCATGAAAAAATTTTGTGTTACGGTCTCCCTCCTTTAGCCATGTTGCACGGCTTTTTTGTTTCCAGTACTATTCCTCTTCTCGGAAAGCTGAACATAAGTTCCATTTCAGGTTCAAAACTTCTTCACTTGTGACATTATCATCGACTTGAGCTTGTTCTAGCTGGGCTTTAATGGCTTCTATTTTCTTTATCGAGTTTGATTGTATGGTTCGTTTCCATCTTGATAACGCACTACGGCATGAAATGATCTTGTCAGAGACTTTACCGAGCTCTATGGTTGATGATGTATCCCAACTATCCACAATTGTTTCCTTTAACCCGTCTTTATCAAGCCATCTTTTATCAAACTTAAATCCTCTTTGAACTCTAGTTGTCTTCGAGAGGATTCTGGCCAAGATAGGCCGATGATCTGAACCCCACAACTTAAGATACTCCACATTTGTGTGGGAAAAAAGATGATGCCATTCACCATTGCCAATAGCTCTGTCTAACCTGCATTGAACTTTTCCGTTTTTCCTGTATCCAACCCAAGACAAAGAATTACATTTAAAAGGAAAATCAATCATTCCACAATTATCCAACATTTTCCGGAAAGGTAAAAAAGAAGTCTCAGATCGTTTTCTTCCTCCCCGTTTTTCATGATTCCCAATCATCGCATTGAAGTCTCCAATCATAAGCCATGCATCTTTTCTGTTAAGGCTTATTTGAGCTAAACGGTCCAAACTATACCTCGGCACTCACTGACCGGATCACCATACACGAATGACATGAACACTTTGTTACCCTCTATGTTGGCTTCTATATCGATCAAACGATTATCAGAAGAGATGATGTTTACATCAAAAGAATCGTAGTAGAAAAGTGCAAGTCCACCACTTCTACCTTCTGGTTCCACAGTGAATAATTTGTCATAGCCGAAATCAGCTTGAAAATCTTGCAGGAAGGAATAACTATTTTTTGTTTCCGAAAGGAAAAGGAAGGAGGGTGCAAATCATCGATGCAGCTCATGTAGGTGCTGCTTAGTCAAGTATGCTCCAGCACCTTGACAGTTCCAGGCAATTGTCGACATAGATCCTTAGTGGATGGACCTTGTTTGGCTCGAAACGCTGCCTCTTCTTAGTCCAAATTTTGAGAGGGTCATCTTAATCACAAAGAGGCGTGTGTTGTTGTCGTAGGTCTGGATATTGGGGTTCCCCAGTTGACCGAGATTTATAGATCGGCTGAATAATCTTGGAGATGAGATTCCAAGGTAAATTATTACCACCATAAACGTAGCACAAAGCTAGACGAAAACTGTTTCTTAGCAATAGCTAGAGCTTCCCTTGAGAACTGAGCCTTCGGAGCTTATCCCCCCACTAAAACCACCACACAATAGCTCTAGAGAAGAGGCATATCCTTGCTGCGATGGTGAGAAAAGTGGAGCTACGTATGAGACGGACAAATATTCAAGCCACCACCATAGACAGAGAGCCAGATTTCCAAAACAATCTGTATATGGATCTCGTTTTCAGACGTATTATTACTTCCGCGGAGCCAATATATCCGGCTCAGAATCTTAGCACACGGCTAGAGAGGGTGAAAGAGACTCCAGGACGTAGAAATACACTAGATTCTCCAGTTACACGGCGTCACTAATCAGCGACGGAGACGGAAGAGGGAGATCACTATCTCAGAGTGTAAGGATTCCTGATCGCGCCGTTTGTATAACAGTGAGATATCTTCTTCACGCCGCCGTTTGTGAGATCCGAAAACAGTGAGATACACGTCTGAGAACTTTTCTATGAGACGAGGAGTGTAGGGTAGTTTCCCTCGCTTGCCCAGAAAACTAGATCACGTCAGAAGTATGCGTAGACGGAGAGGGATGATGCAGATCTGTGAATCTCTCTTTGGATCGTCGAAACCCTAGGAGCCGCCATGCCGTTACTAGTCAATTAGATTAGCTTTCTTTTCTTTCTACTTAGAACCCTTTTTTACTTCTTTTTTAACTTCCCAAACCTTTACTAGACCCTTTTTAACACTGCCAACTCCCTGGACCTAAACTCTTTTTCCTTTGGGTTTTTCCCAACTTTTACCACTTTTCTGGTTTTTACACCCAACTCGATCGAGCTCGAGTTGGCACCCCCAAACTTAGCCTGAAAACAATCCCAAGAGAACTAGACAACTAGAACTACTGCCCCTGCCGGTTTAAACACAACACCTTATGCTAAGCAAAGCCAAGAAAGGTTCTCACATTCGCACAAGAGATAATAAGGGGTTTGAAATGAAAAGGCTTAGGTTTAAGGTGTGGTAACTGTCTCAAAGATAGAGATCAGCTATCTGGACAAGCAAAGGGATATGAAAATGGTAAAGAATGTCCAGATATGTATGTGGTAGCCATGAGTTGAAATCAAATGCAAGCATTGGTAATTAAAGATCAAGTTATGGTTCAAATAGATAGGGAAATGCATCAAATCACAGCAATGGTTGAATGAGATGTGCATGCAGTGATATGATCAAGATAAACATGGTTCTTGCTGCTCAATCAATCTCACCCTAATGCACAAAAGAATCTAAAAACAGGGCACTCAAGAAATCGCAAAAGATGACAAGTTTTCAAAGTCAAATCAACAATGCAAGTGAAAATGCAATCCTAAACAAGTCTAACAAATATGAATGCAAAAAGATGAAAATATTTTTGGATTTTTTGAAAATTTTATGATTTTTTTGGTTTTTCTATGCAAAAGAATGAAAAACTAAGAACAAAGAAAACAAGGTTAAATCATCTCTTGAACCCTCCCCCAAACTTAAATCACACAGTCCCTTGTGTGAGAAAAATTTAGTGAAAGATTCAAGAGGGCAAAACCAAGAAAAAAAAGCAAAGAAAAATGAAATGGTATATACAAGGGTTGGTGTTTGGATACCTCAGTGCCCCCCAAAGAACTGGGAGGCAAGGTCGTGGTCTGGAGATGGTAGACGGCCATCAGGAGCACTCCACTCGACTGGGTTCCCTCACTCGATCGAGCTTGCGGCTCCTCTTCTTCCTCTTCTTCATTGAAGTGTGTGTGGCTCCCTTGGCCTTGGTGGAGCATGGCTAGCTCGTACTGTCCATAGGGGTTCCATCTACTCTGGGAGCTCCTGGTAAGGCGTTGGATCGTACTCAAATCCCGGATCCTCAAACTGGGCTCCTCAAGACCAACTCGACCGAGTTGAGTTTCCTCTGTTTGGACTCGATCGAGTCCGGTGGTCGAGCTGGAGCGTCTGGCCTTAGAGTCTTCCTCCTTCTCTGTGTTGTCTTCTCCCTTCCCTTGGCTCGAAAGAAGAGGCTCTGTGAGGCTCTTGGGCAGGGAGCCTCCTTGGAGTGGTGAGAAGGATCTACTCCTAAGGAATGTGGGGGCCATGGGCCTTCTTCTTCTTGCTTGAAGAACCAGAAACCTTCTTCTCCAAACTTTTGATCTTGCTCACCATCTTGTCCATGGACTTTTGCATCTTTCAATGGCTTTCCCTTGCCATTTGTTGAACTTTTGGAGAAGTCCAATCCTCTTGTGGGCAGCCACAACAGAGGGGTTCATCCTTGGAGCCTCATACTCCTCAAAATAATAGCACTCAGGCTCACCCAAATCCGCACTCTCCTGGACTGATCCTCAGCTTGACTCAGCTCGATCCTCAGCTCGATCGAGCTCAGGCTCCTCTTCTCGCAAATCCTCATGCCCAACTAATGTGTACACAGGGGGTCTGAAGTCAATGTTCTCACCCCTGACTACTGTGGTGAGCTCTGGGTTGGGCAGGAGAAGCTTGGAAGGTCCAACCAATGGATGTGTGAACTTGAATTGGAACCTCCCATCCAACTCCTTGTGCTCAATGAGAGGTTGGTCTTGCAAAACTTGATGTCCATCCAACCTGGTTCAGTGGCTCTTATCAGTTGGGTTCACTCCAGCAGCACACAAGATAGGAGTGATGAGCCCTCCAACACTTAGGCGCCTCCCTGTTGATGTCTAGTGTTGTAGGTGGATCTTGTAGGTGATCAAGGAAAGGCATCAAGTTTCCCTGTGTTGGATCTATCTCCCCTGATCCTCTTGCCATCGCTTGTGCGTGAGAGATGGGCTTGATTCCCATGTCAAGAAACTTGAGTTCCCCCTCGTTAATGGTCCCGGTTGCCTTCCTTGCAAAGAAGGTGTTGGCAAGTGCCTTGTGCACATACCTCAACACTGGGCTCCTGATTTGAGCAGCCTTGGACCTTGAGGAAGAGTACACTCCATCAGCGATTGTAGCCCAAACCCTTTGGAGTTCCTTTCCTTGAAGTTCCACTTACCTTCTCCATAGTTGAACCCAAACAAGATCTCCAACTGCCTAAAGGTCACCATTCTCTTCTCTCCCTTAGCCAAGAACGTGATCCATCCCAATCCTTGGTCCAAATCAGCTCTATCTCCTCATCGTACATGTGGTACCTCATTGAAGCTAAGAACTCGCAAGTGAGCTCCTTGTAGGATTCCATGTGATAAGAGAAGAATTGGCCAAGTGCATGTTCTTGAGAACTAGCTCCACATCTTCAAAGATTCCAAGGGCCTTCATTGTGTCAACATGTGGGTACTTGGTCTCCATAAAGTCCATGGAGAAGAGGGCATTGTAGTGCTCTTGGTACATAGGGAGTTCTTCTCCTCCTCTTGTGGCTCTCTTGTGGCTCAACCTCCTCCATAGGTTCATCTTGGTTACTCTCTTGCTCACTCTCTTCAACCAACTGATTCACCTCTTCTCCTTCCTCTTCACTCTCAGTCTCATCACTTCCTTCTTCACTTGGAGAGCCATTTCCCTCCTCTTGAACAAGGTTCACTCCAATCTCAAACTCCCCTTGCTCACTCTCACTACTAATGGGGTCATTCCTCTTCTTGGTCCTCCTCTCCTCCCTCAATCTCTCGACTCTCAGACTCTTCCTCAGAGTATACATACCCTCTGCATCAGACTCTTCCATCCTTTGAGTCATTCTCCAAATCGGCTTGCATTTAAGCCTTCTCTCCCTTGCATTGCTTGATTCACCCTCAACCATTCTCCTCTGTGAAGCGCGACTTCCCTCACTGTTTGTCATCTCTGTTACACTGTTTCTTCACTAAAGTACCTGAAATGCATCAAAGATTACAAAGAATTAGAGTTGTAATGATCGGTTTGGTCAACTCGACACTCAGCTCGATCGAGTCAAAAAACTCGAGTGACAAACTCGATCGAGCTAGGTGAAAACAGAGTATAACCGAACCTAATTCAAACAAATAGAGCTGGCACTACAAAAAAAGTCTACATTGATAGCAGATGTTTATAGCACGATTTACTCAACTGCTATCAAAGATGTGGTTTAATTTTAGTTTTCATATAATAGCATTTCATAAACCTTATGATAGGTTGTCACTAAGCGGGAAAATAAAATCACTTAAGCGGCTAAACACTTAGACAAATAATTCGGTTTAAGCGGCTGCGGCTTTTGGTTTACACGAAAAATAACACTGTAAACACTTTCGTTTCACTTAGACTTGAAAACCCTTAGACTTAAACAACTCCGGCCTTATTCTGTGAAGCCGGCAATTTGCTTCCCCAACCACCAATTTAATCCGCCGCAGCCACTATTGGAAGTAGCCGTATCCACTGACCTTGTTCGTCGCTCCTAATTTCGCCTACCTCCGTCTGCATTTCGCTCAAATCGAAGGCATGTCTTACTTCCACAAATGATTGTTTAGAGAATTTTGTATATTTTCTTTCTTTCTTTCGGACTATTGTGAATGTAGACAACGATTTCGTGAAATTTTGCTGACATAAACATCGATTTTAGGGTTTTTGATTTGATACATAAAAAAAGAAATTGGGATTTTGCATGCATATGTTCTTTGTCAAAGTAGACTAATTTGTTGACATTAAGATTTGTGTGTTGTGAATTAGATGAAGGGAATGAATAGACTTAACAAGGTGGCTTCTGAACTTGCGATTGCTGGATTATATATTTTCTGGATTTCTCAAATAAGTTTATGAAATATGTGATAAATCGGTTTCATTTGTGACAAACATCAAATACTCGCTGAATTACTGCTGTTATTGTCAGGTTTACGAAGTACTGGCGCAGTTGGATTGTTTTACATGTAGTTTATGTGTTTCCAATACTATTTTGATCTTGTGTTAAATTGATTATATAAACAAGTTTTCTGGATTCAAGTTTGATACATAATTTACTGATATGCTTTGAGATAACTGGAATATAGACATGGTATATTTGTATTGATATATTATCTGGAAATGGAGTTACTTTCTTATTGGTCAAACTGTTTGGTGATTTTGGGATGTGGATTATTCTCCCAATAACCCTTGTATGATGCTTATGGTAATAAAGGTTTAGATTACGGTTAGAACTTATAATGGTGGAGAAGGATTGGGTGCATCTTTCCAGGTACAAATTACACTTTATAGGTTAGGTCTAAGTGGGGGTTTGGAAAGTTCACTTGATTTATTCCTGTTAAATCTGCAATGAAGAGCTGATCCTGCGTATGAGAGAGGGGCTTTGAATTTTGTACAAGAAGTGGCCGCTGCATTTGGAGACGTTGACATGATAATATGTCCTTGCATTGACTGCCGTAACATAGATCGTCACTTAGGAAGTGTTATAGTTGATCATCTTGTCACAAGAGGAATGGATGAGGCTTACAAGATGAGGTCTAATTGGTATCTTCATGGAGAATTGAAATCAGGGGTTCAAGATGAACGGAACCCGAGTCAATGGAATGATGAAATCTTTGGGTTATTTCAAGCTGCTGAGTTTACGGATGAAGAGTTTGCTACAAAGTCTGATTTGTGCGAGATTGCAGAGGGCGAGGACAGGGAAGAAGATGAGTTCCTCGCAAAGCTTGCAAATGCTGGAACACCATTGTATCCATGTTGTGTGAGCCATAGTAAGTTGTCTGTAATTGTATCGTTGTTTAGACTCAAGACGCAGAATGGCTTGTCTGACAAAAGCTTCAACGATCTGCTAGAGACATTGCCAGAGATGTTACCGGAGGATAATGTGCTACATACTTCATTATACGAGGTGAAGAAATTTCTGAAATCCTTTGACATGGGTTATGAGAAGACACATGCATGTGTCAATGACTGTTGCCTATTCCGAAAGAAGTATAACAAGCTAGAGAAATGTCCTAAGTGTATGGCTTCTAGATGGAAGACTAACATGCACAATGGAGAGGAGATGAAAGGTGTCCCACATAAGGTGTTACGGTATTTTCCAATAATCCCAAGACTGAAGAGAATGTTAGGTCTGAGGAAATGGCTAAGAATTTAAGGTGGCACTAGAGTAACAAGAGCTGTGATGGTAAACTACGTCACCCTGTAGACTCAGTAACGTGGGATCAGATGGACGAGAAATATCCTGCCTTTGCAGCTGAAGAGAGAAACGTTCGGCTAGGACTGTCTACGGATGGATTTAATCCATTCAACATGAAGAATTCTAAGTATAGTTGCTGGCCAGTTTTGTTAGTGAACTACAATTTGCTGCCTGACTTATGCATGAAGAAGGAGAACATCATGCTTACGTTGTTGATTCCTGGACCGAAACAGCCTGGTAACAGTCTTGATGTTTACTTAGAACCTCTAATAGAGAATCTAGACCACCTATGGAAGAATGGAGAACAAACATATGATGCCTTCAGTAAATGTACTTTCAATCTTCGAGCAATGCTGCTTTGGACGATCAGTGATTTCCCTGCCTATGGAAATCTCGCAGGCTGCACAGTGAAGGGTAAAATGGCATGTCCATTGTGTGGAAAAAACACAAACAGTATGTGGTTGAAGTTCAGCAGGAAGCATGTCTATATGTGCCATAGAAAGGGTTTGCCACCATCACATAGTTATAGAGGACAGAAGGCTCGGTTTGATGGAAAAGCTGAACATGGGAGGAAGGGAAGGATATTAACTGGTCATGAAATTTCTCAAAATCTGAGGAATTTCAAAAATGACTTCGGAAATTTAAAACAATCTGCATCTAAGAGAAAAAAACCTGTTTACACCAGACTAGGCTCCGATAGTGATGACAGTGAGTCAGAGGGAGAAGAAGATGAGGAAATAGAAATAGACAAGGAGGAATTATCCAGATGGAAAAAAAGGTTTATCTTCTTCAAGCTTCCTTATTGGGAGGTATGTTCTAATCTTTCCAAAAAGAAAAAATGTATTATACAAGAAAATTTGATTTCTGACTTCGTTTTATGTATTTGTTTTGTTTAGGAACTCCCTGTGCGGCACAATTTGGATGTAATGCATATTGAGAGAAATGTCGCAGCAAGTATTGTGTCTACGGTGTTACACTGTGGGAAATCTAAGGACGGTATCCAAGCTAGAAAGGATTTAGAGGATCTCGGTATTAGAAAGGATTTGCACCCTTGCACACAAGGAAAAAGAACATACCTTCCGGCAGCTCCATGGTCGTTGTCTAAAACAGAAAAGAAAGTCTTTTGCAGGCGGCTTTTTGACTTCAAAGGCCCAGACGGCTATTGTTCTGATATATCCAGAGGCGTATCATTAGATGATTGCAAGGTAGCGGGTCTCAAATCACATGATTATCATGTGTTAATGCAACAGCTTCTTCCGATTGCACTAAGAGGGTTGTTACCAAAAGGTCCTAGAGTGGCAATAGTACGTTTATGCGCCTTCTTCAGCCACTTGTGTCAGCGAGTAATAGATAGAGAGCAGATTTTGGTAATGGAAGCTGAGATAGTAGAAACTCTCTGCATGTTAGAACGATTTTTCCCACCAAGCTTCTTTGATATCATGGTACACTTAACCGTACATCTAGGAAGGGAAGTTCGACTTGGTGGACCAGTTCACTTTAGATGGATGTACCCATTTGAGAGGTATGTGTTGTATTGTATACGCTGTTTCTACTTTCAATTTGTGCTTTTGTTTCCACATATGCATCGTTGCTAACCAATAAGATGTTATACTTTTCAGATATATGAAAGTTATGAAAGATTTTGTTAGAAATCCGGCTAGGCCAGAAGGGTGTATTGCTGAGTCTTATCTTGCTGAGGAGTGCATCCAGTTCTGCAGCGAGTTTTTGAAGAAGACAACAAACGTACAAGATAAGGTAGATAGAAATACAGAGTACGAGAACAGCTCTATACTAGAAGGTCGTCCTCTATCTGCAGGCACTACTATTTGCCTTTCAGAAGCAGAGATGAAAATGGCTCATCTCGCTGTCATCCAAAATATGGCTGTCATTGATCCGTATGTCGAGTAAGTTACACATCTTAGCTTCCTCGTTTATTTGTCATTTCTGTCTCAGTTAAAGTGTCTAATGCAACATCTTCTTTTGTTGTTATCCAAGTGAACATCTTTAGTACTTGCAAGACTCAAATGTAAGATGTAGACGTGATGCATCATTTCTATGGAGAACGCACACCGACAACTTTGCATCTTGGCTTAAAAATCAGGCTAGTAACATTGAACCTTGTTTTACTGTCGTCCACTTATGATTCTTTATATAGATGTCTTAATTGTAAGTTTTTTTTTTCAGATACCTCTTGATTCAGACGAGCATGGGGAAACACTCAAATGGTTGGCGTATGGACCACGTTGCTCTGCACGGTCGTATACTGGTTACATAGTGAATGGGCTTAGATTTCACACTATATCAGTTGATAGAAAAAGTCAGAATAGTGGGGTTTTTTATGAGGCTACAGCAGTATGTAGGTCTAGTGCGAAAGACACATCACAGGTGGTTGACTTGGTTTCATACTATGGCAGAGTAACAGATATTATACTCGTGGATTATAATGTGTTTTATGTTCCTCTGTTCCGATGTCAATGGGCAGTAAAGGGTAATGGAGTTAAGGTAGAAGAGGGTTTCACATTAGTTAACATGAATCATAGTCAAGTCTCTCTTTCAAAGGACCCATATATCTTAGCCTCTCACGCAAAGCAAGTGTTTTACTTAAGAGAAGACGAGTCCTCAAATTGGCATGTTGTTATGCGAGGTCCCTCACGGAGATACAGTAAGAAAGAGTTTGATGATGGACTTGCAGATTTAGCACCATTGCCATCAAATGTTGTCATGGATATTGACATGGATGAAGCAGAAAGTATTCGGGCTGATTGTGAAGGCATATATGTTTTAAATGTAGTTTCTTGATCATTTTAGTCTTGTTGTGTTTGCTCTGCGTGATTTTTGGTTGCTTGTTGCTCTGATTTGCATAAGTTTATCGTGTCTTGTTCGTTTTATTTATATGACTAAAACTTCTTTTATGGGACATCTTTCAGGTGAACTAAGATGTGCAGTACAAAAAAGAAGAGAGGGAGAAGACCAAAACCAGCTAACAATATTGTCAATGCGGAAGCAGCAGGGGTGACAAATGTTGAAACACAAACTGAGCCTCACTTGGACGGTGAGCAGCAGGTAGAAGACTCAGTTAGAGAGGATGTAAGAGATGAAATGTCTGACAGAGTTGTGAATGAGGAGGAACCTGAAGGAGAGATTGAGTTATCTGGTGAGGATGACAATGTGGCTCAACCTACCCGAAAGAGACAGCGAGGACCAACAAGGATGAAAGACATCGCCAAAGATCCAAATAACAAAGTTCGAGTAGACTTCACCATCGTGGGCGAACCGTACGGCTCTGGGTCAGTGAAGTTGTCTTCGTATGTAGGTGCATTGGTACGCGAACATGTTCCTATTCGTTGGACAAAGATCGGTGAAGATGTGAAGACAGTTCTCTGGAAATCTGTCCAGGTAAACGGTTTTCAAAATTGTCTGTTAATTTATTTGAGTAGTAGTTTCCATGGAGATATCTCCAGGTAAGCGTTAAATCTAGCTAATGTTTAAAGAATATCGTGTAGGCAAGATTTGAGCTAGAAGAAGCTTACCAGAAGACTGTGGTACTTAGGCGATTGTGGAGGCTAAGAATAACCAACAGAGGATGAATCTGCGGCCTAAAAATGTTCCTCCAGTTGACTGGCGAAAATTTGTTCAACTTAAAACTAGTGCATCATTTAAGGTATCATTTCACATATTGGTTTCTTTATTTTGGTGTTAGTGAATTTCATAGTAACGATCTTCACTGTTAGGAGCTGAGCAACAGCTATAAGGAAAGAAGATGTAAACAAATCCCTCACACATGTAGTCGTAAAGGAATGGTTAGACTTGCTGAAGAGATGGTAAGTATGATGCACAATTAAGTCGTTCTTTCGCCTTATATTATACTGTAAAATACTTAATCTTTTGATTGATATTATTTGGGTTTAGAAAAACGCTAGTTCAGACCCATCTGAAGTGTCAAGGCTAAAGGTTTGGGTGAAGTCGCGTACCAAGAAGGATGGTACAGCCGTGAATACCAATGCCGCTGAGAAGATTGTGAGTATCTCTTTTTTACTAATCTCTTTCTTTTGGTAATGGTTGTTTTGTGTTGTTAAAGCATTTGAATGTCCCATACAATAATGATTTGCAGATAAAGGCAGCGGATATTCTTAAAAGTAGTCGTGCGTCATCTGCTTCTACTGAATGTGAAGATGCCCTGAACCAACTGTTAGGACCTGATAATCCTGGTCGAATGAGAACGATGGGTAGAAACATGAGTAAATCTAAGCTAGCTTTTTTCCAAGTGAAGCATAAGTGTATCGCTGAAATGGAAGAGAAGCAAATTCATCTCCTACAAAAGGTCAATGACTTACAAGAGGAAATTGCCAAAATGAAGAACCAGGTTAGACACTTCTCTTCAAATAAATTAAACTTCTCAACTAGTAGCTAGCTAACACTTTGTTTTATCTTACATTTTTAATTTCTCACAGAGAGAAGAGCATGAAGTTGGCGAAAACTCAGCAGCAAAAGTAAGTCATTTATATCAGAACAAAATATTGTTTTCAAGTTTGGAGGCGTACATTTGACTATCTATATATGCTACAATTGTATAGAGTGTGAACAAGAAAACTCAACCAAAGTGTGTCTTGGTTGATTGGGCTGATGACGATGCGAATGTTGCTGAGGGTCGTATCATTTCTTCTGATCCGGATGAGTCAGTCAATGATAGTCGCTTAGACCCTAAAGATGTAAAAGTATTGGTTGACGTTGCTACTAAACCGGAAGCATTCCTCTGGAGACCTGCGAGTACAATGTTCACAATTAAAGAAGCTGTTGGGCAGATGATTGCATGGCCTGCCACTATATGTATTCAGCTAGAGCCAGAAGACGTTGTACTACTGGTAAAGTTTATCATTTAATATATATGTTGTAATTATTTACTTGATTGGTATAAGATTACATAATCATAATGTTGTTTTAATGTGTTTGGCAGGGCACAACGAATAATTCTCTGAACAAATGCAAACTACTGGACTTGTCTACAGATGATACAGTCGTAGCTGAAGGACGTTGGCAGACACAAGATCCAAAGGCATTGGTTAATGAACTTCCACTCGGACCTAAAGCAGTGAAAGTATTCGTGGATGAAGTACAACAACCTGATACATTTATATGGAGGCCTACGATGGATGTGACATACCTTGAAGATTGCCTACTGTCTTGTGTAGCGTGGCCTGTCAACAAAGTTGTCTTCGAAAACACCACAAACGCATCAGGCCATAAATCTACTCAGAATTCGTCCTCAACAGGTCTAAAATCTGGAGCAACAGGTTTTAAATCTCCTAGTGAGACATTTCCGGCAACATCTCATGCTGAGAAGTCTCCCGCAACATGTCCAAAATCTTCAAAAAGGGGAACTCAGCAACTGTCTCAGTCCCATCTAGAAAGATCCCCGGTAAATGAATTGGCCATATTTGTGACGTTGATAATGATTGTTGTCATCTCATGTCTGAAATGATTGATATTGGAAAAATGTTAGCAGGTAGATGGAGCTGAAGCTATCAAGGAAAATCAGAAGTGCAAGTTGTTGGATATAAGCGGGAAGAAGCGTGTTGTTGCTGAAGGACAGGTGCATTCAACTGACCCAGAACAGAAGGTCCACTTTGTTCGCTTGGGGTCTAATGCAGCTAGAGTTTGGGTTGATAAAGTGAAGGAAGATGATGCACCAGTTTGGAAGCCGTCAGATGAAATCGAGTACATGAAAGATGCACTTGGCTCATCTATTGCATGGCCAATTGAGAAATTGGTCGTCTTCTAAGTATGAGAAATAAGGTAAATAATTCTTGTCATTAGTATTGTGAGTAAGCGTTTGTTTGCCTTCTGCTACTGTAATTGCCAAACTGACCTAAATAATTGTTTTTGTTGCAGGGAATGAAGCTACTTGGTCCACATTAGATAGTTTTAACTAGTTTAAGACTAGACTAATGTACGTGTGGTTTGTTTTGGGCATTTTGTGTTTCAGACTTCGGTTATTTGTGTTTTGCTAAAACATAGTCTTGTGTTATGCATGTTGGATTGGAATTCAGACTTGTGATATGTATGTTGGATTGGAAATCAGACTTGTGATATGTATGTTATGCATGGATGATTTGATTTCTTATATATCAGGGTTCTGTTTCTCTTTTGAACATCAAGGATTTTATAGTGTACCAGGTATAATAGCATTTAAAAAAAAAAGAATTATACTCTTATTTCATAGCAATAAATCTTAGTCATGAATTTGTGTATGATAGCAATTGCTACGCTATAACCTATCTTCATATACAAACTATAATAGCGTTGAAACGTTGGAATTGTAGCTGACTCTATCATAGCACGAAATATGAGTTTTTATTAAATCATAACAGAAATATTTAGTGCTATAAGACAGTGAACAAACGCATTGAAACTTTGCTATGGTATATGCATCTACCTTAGCATATCGAAAAAATGCTATCTTATCAGTGGCACCTATTATAGCTGTCGATGTCATAGCGTTTATGAAAACGCTATGTTATACATATAATAGCAGATATTTCGGGTTAAGAATACATATTTCTTGTAGTGTGGAAAGGATGCCTATTAAACAAATTGAACCAAAAACAACAAGTAAAAGGAACAATGAGCAATCTTAGTGAAACCCTAAGCATCTTAACCAATACCAAACTCAAATTCAATGTTTCAAGGACATGCAACAAGTTCTTAATAGTGAAACAGAGGTGGGGTGAGGCAAAATCACAATGGTATAAACATGAGAATGATTATGAAAGCAATTACTCAAGAATAAACCCACAAGGGGCACATGCAATCAAAATCAAAGAGAAAACAAGTAATGGAGAGGAATCGAGATGAAGTAATCAAGGGATTTAGGGTTCATACCTTGCTTGAGTGATGAATTAAGAACAGTAAGCTAGAACCCAAACGAAAAACAATGAAGAACAAGAGGATATCGTGAAACATAAGAGAGAAAGATTGAAACTCGAAATTTTCTTGTGGTGAAGAGAGAGAGAGATGATTTTCAGAAAAATAGAGTGTTAGAGGGATGGAGAAAGGGGTTCGATCGAGTTATGGGGAAGAGGGAGTGTTTGAGATGTGTGGTTGGGATTAAAAGTTGAATTGAAGAGAGGACAAAAGCTTGGGACTTTTCTGATCGAATCAGGGTAGTGGGGGACCAAAATTTAAAAGTGGGACCCACCCCGTTGACCAAGGAAATGGTTAGAAATTCGAATTTTGAAAACTTACCTCAGTCGAGTTGAGGAACTCGATCGAGTGATGTACTTGCATTTTACATAGTTTTAGCACATCTTTTATGCATCTTTTGCATAGTTTTAGCTTCCATTTGCATCATATCTTGTTCCTTTTCTCTTCTTATGCATTCATGTTAGTTTTAGGTTGCATTTGCATACATATGCATGTTTGGTCCTTTGAAATAGGTCTTTTGGAGCATTCTGGAGCATATGGGACATGAGGAGCATGGAGGGACTTGGCACATGGACGCAGCTCAACTGGATACGCAAAGGAAGAAGGGAGAAGCCATCTTGAAGACCAGCTCGACCGTCTACTCGACCAACCGGTCGAGTTCCTCAACTCGACCGGCCAAGCTTCAACTCGATCGAGCTGAGAAGTCAACAGTCAAACCCGAAAAATGTTGCTTCCCCCTTGACTTTCCTTTGACCCTAAACCTAATCCTCTTTGTATTTAAAGGCTCTAAGCCACGAAAAAACCACCAAGCTTTAGATTATTTTGTTTTAGTTTCTTTTAATTTATTGTCTTTTACTTTTTAGAGCTCTAATCCCATCTTTGTGTTCTTGAAGCTCTTGCTTCTTGAATCCTAGATCCTGGATAATCTCTTTGTATTTGCACTTGCTTATTTCAATAAAAGTTGTTTAATTTCATCTCCTCTTTCTTATGATGTCTCTTTTATTGCATTTGCTTGTGTTTACATTCATGTGTAGTGAGTAGTTACCCATTAGGGTTTGAGATGGGATAGATTAGAGGTTTCATATGCTTAATCCTTCTAGCTTATGGTCTTAATCTAGATTCTCTCTCTTTTGGATAGATCTTAAGGCTACATGACCACTACCCCTGGCTTGTAAGTCCTTAGGCGATTCCCCACACGAAAGTGATGGCATTCGCTGGAAAAGATCCACTAAGAGCTCCAATATCTCTTGCTCTAGAAATAGAGGTCTAAGGGGTTGGATGGATTAGTTTGGGCAATGATCCTATAGCCTCCAAGGTTTGATTCTCACTGGCTAACCCCCTGTTTCTGAGATCATTCCTTGGTTGATAGCCTTCACCTTGGGAAAGGGTTGGTAGGCATTGAGAAGCCCAATATCAAGAGAAGCCTTGATACAAGGAGTTTTAAGAGCTGGATGATTAAGTGTAGATTCCTTTGATTGCAAAACCCTGTCTTGAACCCTAATTCTTCTCTAGCTTGTTAAAGTCGCTGCCTTTACTGCTTTTTCTGCTAACTCGACCCTAAACTCGATCGAGCTGGTACTCTGTTCCTACTCGACTCGAGTCTTGGTCGAGCTTGTTTACTGCTTTATTTACTTTCTGCATTTCATTTCTGTTTCATTAGGTTGTTAGTGTTACTCAAATCTATTACTGCTTGCTTGACTTCCTGGTTGTTTCATATTCTCATAGAGTGACAAGTTTCCCATTTTGGATTGATAACCCTTTGTACTACATCAACTATCATGGTTAAAGGGAATTGTTGATTGTGTTTGCACCATTTCATCTTTATTCACCCTGTTTGCATTCCACCTCATATCTCATTTCATATCATTCACATCCACACACAAATCCTATCATCAATTTGGCGCCGTTGCCGATTTGGGATATTTTGTTGCATTTGAGTTTCAAACACACTTGGACGATCAAGCTATACCACCCCTGTTCTATTGTACTGCTGGGTTTTTGTCTCTTTTTGCAGGTGTATGCGAACTCGATCGAGTCGGTCTACTGAAGACTTGGTCGAGCTAGACTTTACAACGGGTAGAAAGAGAGTTCAGAGGTCACAGAGGGTACAAGAGGAACCTGAGGTGCTTGTTGCTGATACAATGGATGTACCAGAGGGGAATGGAAACCCTTTGGGAAATGGACTCGGTCGAGCTAGGCAAACTCGACCGATTGGTCAAGGAGATGCTCCAAACCGCCACCAACAGAGACAAGGGATTGTTCCACCACCAGTGCAGAACCACAACTTTGAGATCAAGCTGGGAATGATCAACCTTGTCCAGAACAAGATGTTTGATGATATGGATTTGTGTGTGGATGTGAAAAGATATGAAATGAGATGAGTGGAATGCAATCAGTGGTATATGATGAGGTGGTAAGATGCAAACACAAACACAGTCAACAATTCCCTTTAACCATGATAGTTGATGTAGTACAAAGGGTTATCAATCCAAAATGGGAAACTTGTCACTCTATGAGAATATGAAACAACCAGGAAGTCAAGCAAGCAGTAATAGATTTGGTAACACTAACAACCTAAATGAAAAGAAATGCAATGCAAAAGTAAACAAAGCAGTGAAGTAACAGCTCGACCAAGACTCGAGTCGAGTCAGAACAAAGTACCAGCTCGATCGAGTTTAGGGACGAGTTGAGACAAAAAGCTAAAGGTGACGACTTTAACAAGATAAGAGAGAATTAGGGTTCAAGACAGGGTTTTGCAATCAAAGGAATCTACACTTAATCATCCAGCTCTTAAAACTCCTTGTATCAAGGCTTCTCTTGATATTGGGCTTCTCAATGCCTAGCCAACCCTTTCCCAAGGTGAAGGCTATCAACCAAGGAATGATCTCAGAAACAGGGGGTTAGCCAGTGAGAATCAAACCTTGGAGGCTATAGGATCATTGCCCAAACTAATCCATCCAACCCCTTAGACCTCTATTTCTAGAGCAAGAGATATTGGAGCTCTTAGTGGATCTTTTCCAGCGAATGCCATCACTTTCGTGTGGGGATCGCCTAAGGACTTACAAGCCAGGGGTAGTGGTCATGTAGCCTTAAGATCTATCCAAAAGAGAGAGAATCTAGATTAAGACCATAAGCTAGAAGGATTAAGCATATGAAACCTCTAATCTATCCCATCTCAAACCCAATGGGTAACTACTCACTACACATGAATGTAAACACAAGCAAATGCAATAAAAGAGACATCATAAGAAAGAGGAGATGAAATTAAACAACTTTTATTGAAATAAGCAAGTGCAAATACAAAGAGATAATCCAGGATCTAAGATTCAAGAAGCAAGAGCTTCAAGAACACAAAGATGGGATTAGGGTTGCTAAAAGTAAAGACAATAAATTAAAGAAAGCTAAAACAAAAATAAGTAAAGCTTTGTTGTTTTTTTGTGGCTTTTAGCCCTAAGGGAAACTACTCACTACACATGAATGTAAACACAAGCAAATGCAATAAAAGAGACATCATAAGAAAGAGGAGATGAAATAAACAACTTTTATTGAAATAAGCAAGTGCAAATACAAAAGAGATTATCCAGGATCTAGGATTCAAGAAGCAAGAGCTTCAAGAACACAAAGATGGGATTAGAGCTCTCAAAAGTAAAGACAATAATTAAAAAGAAACTAAAACAAAAAGTAATCTAAAGCTTGGTGGTTTTTTCGTGGCTTTTAGCCCTTAAATAAAAAGGATTAGGTTTAGGGTCAAAGGAAAGTCAAGGGGGAAGCAACATTTTTCGGGTTTGACTGTTGACTTCTCAGCTCGATCGAGTTGAAGCTTGGCCGGTCGAGTTGAGGAACTCGACCGGTTGGTCGAGTAGACGGTCGAGCTGGTCTTCAAGATGGCTTCTCCCTTCTTCCTTTGCGTATCCAGTTGAGCTGCGTCCATGTGCCAAGTCCCTCCAAGCTCCTCATGTCCCATATGCTCCAAAAGACCTATTTCAAAGGACCAAACATGCATATGTATGCAAATGCAACCTAAAACTAACATGAATGCATAAGAAGAGAAAAGGAACAAGATATGATGCAAATGGAAGCTAAAACTATGCAAAAGATGCATAAAAGATGTGCAAAACTATGTAAAATGCAAGTACATCAACACCCCCAAACTTGAACTTTGCTTAGCCTAGTTCCCCTGGCCAAGAAAACGGTTATGAATTTGAAATTCAAAAACTTACCTCGGTCGAGTTGAGGAACTCGATCGAGTTGCCCTTGTTTCTAGCTCGATCGAGCTGTGGGTCGAGCTGGCTCTCTTGACACCTAAACTTAACTTATTCAAAGGTTAAAACACAAAACTAGATAGAAATTGCATAAATAGAATATGTACAAGGATAAACATGGGACTTCCTCCCAAGTGAGCTTGTTTAAGGTCCCATAGCTTGACCTTTACCTTCTTAGGCATTGGTTGAGCTAGTCCCACCATCAAGGGTGATAGTGAGGACTTGAGACAGAAGCTCCTTTAGCTTGGTTGGGTCCCTGGATTGTTCTGAAGTCACCAAGGCTTTGGCTCTAGAGAATGGCCTTGATCTCCCCTTGTACCTTATCTTGTACTCAATCTTCCCATTTTCAAACTTGGTGGGGAACAAAGTCATTGTGAGCTGAGATGGCTTGAATGAAGGGGCCTGAGCTGGTGGATCTTTTCTTTTATCCCCTGGTCTTGCCTTAGAGGCTACATCCTCCCCTTCTTTTAGAGCCCTTCCTAGTGGCTCATCAAACAAAGCTTGAAGGCTTTCTTCATCAAGCACACAAGGGGCTTGAACAAGTCTATCAGCTCGTGGTCTCTCAGAACGTGGTTTCTCAACTCTAGCCCTCTCAAGACGTGGCTTCTCAATCCTTGGTCCTCTCTCATCCTTATCCTTCCCAACTCTTGGTTCTTTGTCAACTCTTTCCTTCACAACCTTTGTAGCTCCATGACTCTTAGAACTGGGTGTGGTACTGTCAATTGTTGCACAAAAGTCTGAACCTCTAGGCTGCAAGCGATATGACACCAAACTATTCACCTTGTGAAGGATCACTTCTTGCTTGTGAAAGTCTATTGAAGCGCTGATGTACTTGCATTTTACATAGTTTTAGCACATCTTTTATGCATCTTTTGCATAGTTTTAGCTTCCATTTGCATCATATCTTGTTCCTTTTCTCTTCTTATGCATTCATGTTAGTTTTAGGTTGCATTTGCATACATATGCATGTTTGGTCCTTTGAAATAGGTCTTTTGGAGCATTCTGGAGCATATGGAGCATGGAGGGACTTGGCACATGGAAGCAGCTCAACTGGATACGCAAAGGAAGAAGGGAGAAGCCATCTTGAAGACCAGCTCGACCGTCTACTCGACCAACCGGTCGAGTTCCTCAACTCGACCGGCCAAGCTTCAACTCGATCGAGCTGAGAAGTCAAAGTCAAACCCGAAAAATGTTGCTTCCCCCTTGACTTTCCTTTGACCCTAAACCTAATCCTCTTGTATTTAAAGGCTCTAAGCCACGAAAAAACCACCAAGCTTTAGATTACTTTTGTTTTAGTTTCTTTTAATTTATTGTCTTTTACTTTTTAGAGATCTAATCCCATCTTTGTGTTCTTGAAGCTCTTGCTTCTTGAATCCTAGATCCTGGATAATCTCTTTGTATTTGCACTTGCTTATTTCAATAAAAGTTGTTTAATTTCATCTCCTCTTTCTTATGATGTCTCTTTTATTGCATTTGCTTGTGTTTACATTCATGTGTAGTGAGTAGTTACCCATTAGGGTTTGAGATGGGATAGATTAGAGGTTTCATATGCTTAATCCTTCTAGCTTATGGTCTTAATCTAGATTCTCTCTCTTTTGGATAGATCTTAAGGCTACATGACCACTACCCCTGGCTTGTAAGTCCTTAGGCGACTCCCCACACGAAAGTGATGGCATTCGCTGGAAAAGATCCACTAAGAGCTCCAATATCTCTTGCTCTAGACAATAGAGGTCTAAGGGGTTGGATGGATTAGTTTGGGCAATGATCCTATAGCCTCCAAGGTTTGATTCTCACTGGCTAACCCCCTGTTTCTGAGATCATTCCTTGGTTGATAGCCTCCACCTTGGGAAAGGGTTGGCTAGGCATTGAGAAGCCCAATATCAAGAGAAGCCTTGATACAAGGAGTTTTAAGAGCTAGATTGATTAAGTGTAGATTCCTTTGATTGCAAAACCCTGTCTTGAACCCTAATTCTCTCTTTATCTTGTTAAAGTCGTCACCTTTAGCTTTGTTTGTCTCAACTCGTCCCTAAACTCGATCGAGCTGGTACTTTGCCTACTCGACTCGAGCTCTTGGTCGAGCTGCACTTCACTGCTTTGTTTACTTTTATTGCACTGCTTTTCATTTTTTTAGGTTGTTAGTGTTACTTCAAATCTATAACTGCTTGCTTGACTTTCTGGTTGTTTCATATTCTCATAGAGTGACAAGTTTCCCATTTTGGATTGATAACCCTTATACTACATGACTATGATGGTTAAAGGGAATTGTTGACTGTGTTTGTGTTTGCATCTTACCACCTCATCATATACCACTGATTGCATTCCACTCATCTCATTTCATATCTTTTCACATCCACACACAAATCCTATCATCAATTTGGCGCCGTTGCCGATTTGGGAATATTTTTGTTGCATTTGAGTTTCAAACACACTTGGACGATCAAGCTATACCACCCCTGTTCTATTGTACTGCTGGGTTTTTGTCTCTTTTTGCAGGTGTATGCGAACTCGATCGAGTCGGTCTACAAGACTTGGTCGAGCTAGACATTACAACGGGTAGAAAGAGGGTTCAGAGGTCACAGAGGGTACAAGAGGAACCTGAGGTGCTTGTTGCTGATACAATGGATGTACCAGAGGGGAATGGAAACCCTTTGGGAATGGACTCGGTCGAGCTAGGCAAACTCGACCGATTGGTCAAGGAGATGCTCCAAACCGCCACCAACAGAGACAAGGGATTGTTCCACCACCAGTGCAGAACCACAACTTTGAGATCAAGCTGGGAATGATCAACCTTGTCCAGAACAAGATGTTCCATGGATTGCCAAGTGAAGACCCCATTGACCACCTTGATGAGTTTGATAGGCTTTGTGATTTGACAAAGATCAATGGTGTCTCTGAAGATGCCATCAAGCTGAGACTCTTTCCTATGTCTCTAGCTGACAAAGCTCACCAATGGGAGAAGAGCTTGCCCCATGGCACAATCACCACTTGGGATGAATGCAAGAAGGCCTTTCTTGCTAAGTTTTTCTCCACCGGTCGCACAGCCAAGCTTAGAGGAGAGATATCCAGCTTCATCCAGCGAAACAATGAGACATTCGCAGAGGCTTGGGAGAGGTTCAAAGGCTACACAAGTCAGTGCCCACACCATGGATTCAACAATGAATCACTACTCTCCACTCTTTATAGAGGATGCTTGCCTAGGTATAGGGAGATGCTAGACACAGCTAGCAATGGGAACTTCCTCAACCAGGATGTAGATGATGGCTGGCAACTTGTGGAGAACATAGCTAACTCAAATGGAAGCTATGGAGAAGAGTATGATCGCACCAACCGGAGCTCGACCCACCACTCGATCGAGTCAGACGAAAAGTTGAGAAAAGATGTTAAGGCATTGAATGAGAAGTTGGATAAGCTGATCCTAGCTCAGTCCACAATGAAGAAAGTCAACTTTGTGTCTGCTGAGGAGATGGAACCAGTCCAAGAAGGGGAGGATACACAATTTGCTGAGGTGTGCTACATGAGCAATGGGCAAGGAGGTTACAACAAAGGATACTATAATTACAAGTCCAACCCTGCCATGTCATACCGCAACACTGATGTTGCTAACCCTCAGGACCAAGTATATCCTCAACAACAAGCAGCTCGATCGAGTCAGGTGCCACAACATGGGTATGGTCAAAAGAACAATTACCAAGGACCACAAGGCACTTTCCCTGGACAACAAATGAATATCCCACCAGGCTTCCCCCACCAACCGCCCCAGCCTGCACCTTCACAAGAGAATGAGCTCAAAGCAATGCTAAAGCAACTACTTCAAGGGCAAGCTGATGGGGTAGTGGACACAAGCAAGAAGCTAGCTGAAATAAACTCTAAGATCGAGAACCTCAACACAAGGGTTTACTCTCTGGAGAATCATGCTTCTTCTGTTGCTGCTGCTACAAAGCAAGGACAACTACCTGGTAAAGCTATTCAGAACCCCAAGGAACAGTGCAAGGTCATCTTCACTCAAGAAGGACTTGTTGAAGAAGAGGATCAAGAAAGGGTCATTGAAGATTTTTGTTTACTGCTGAATGATGAAGAGATTGTTGCTGCTGAGGCTCCTGGAGTCCAGATTGATCAACCAGAAGTGCATGCACCTACTGTGGCCATTCACACTTCACCAGTTGAGCTCGCACGACAAGCTCGATCGGCAGCTCGATCGAGTCCAACTCTAGCTCGATCGAGTCCGACCTCTTCTGTCCGACAGCCTGTTTTGCTTGATCCTTATCAACCGGTTGCCGCTTCCTCGTCTCGCCTACTTAGTCAAGGTCACAAGGAAGTGATTCACAAGTTCAGAAGAGATCTCAGTGGGATTGGAATTGAGTTGCCTCCTATGGATAGCATGAGTGAGGCATTTGATCAAATGCAAATGGTCAAGGATGTTCTAGCCAACAGTGATAAAGTTTCAGAGGTCCTACAAGAGTCTACTCATCAGTTCAACCTGCTTACTTCACCCACCTTCCTACCAAAGGTCAAGGATCAAGGGAAATTCACTCTCCCTTGCACACTTGGGCATCTTGAGATTGACAATGCCTTAGTGGATTCTGGAGCAAGCATCAATCTGATCTCTCTCTCCATGGCAGAGAAGCTAGGCATTGCTGGAGCCTTGCAGCGCCCTACTACTTCAATCATGTTTGGAGATGCAACTTCTAAGTCTCCTCTTGGAGTGTTCAAGAACTATCACTTGAAAATTGGAGAATGCATCATCCAAACTGATCTCACTGTGATGGAAATGGAAGAAGAGAAGGATTTGCCTCTGTTATTGGGAACCCCTTTCCTTAGTACAGTTGGCGCTTCAATAGACTTTCACAAGCAAGAAGTGATCCTTCACAAGGTGAATAGTTTGGTGTCATATCGCTTGCAGCCTAGAGGTTCAGACTTTTGTGCCACAATTGACAGTACCAATCTCAGTTCTAAGAGTCATGGAGCTACAAAGGTTGTGAAGGAAAGGGTTGACAAGGAACCAAGAGTTGGGAAGGATAAGGATGAGAGAGGACCAAGGATTGAGAAGCCACGTCTTGAGAGGGCTAGAGTTGAGAAACCACGATCTGATAGGCCAAGAGCTGAGAGACTTGTTCAAGCCCCTTGTGTGCTTGATGAAGAGAGCCTTCAAGCTTTGTTTGATGAGCCACTAGGAAGGGCTCTAAAAGAAGGGGAGGATGCAGCCTCTAAGGCAAGACCAGGGATAAAAGAAAGGATCCACCAGCTCAGGCCCCTTCAGTCAAGCCATCTCAGCTCACAATGACTTTGTTCCCCACCAAGTTTGAAAATGGGAAGATTGAGTACAAGATAAGGTACAAGGGGAGATCAAGGCCATTCTCTAGAGCCAAGGCCTTGGTGACTTCAGAACAGTCCAGGGACCCAACCAAGCTAAAGGAGCTTCTGTCTCAAGTCCTCACTATCACCCTTGATGGTGGGACTAGCTCAACCAATGCCTAAGAAGGTAAAGGTCAAGCTATGGGACCTTAAACAAGCTCACTTGGGAGGAAGTCCCATGTTTATCCTTGTACATACTCTATTTATGCAATTTCTATCTATCTTTATGTTTTTAACCTTTGAATAAGTTAAGTTTAGGTGTCAAAGGAGCCAGCTCGACCGACAGCTCGATCGAGCTAGAAACCAGGGCAACTCGATCGAGCTACACAACTCGACCGAGGTAAGTTTTTGAATTTCAAATTCATAACCGTTTTCTTGGTCAAGGGAGTGGGTCCCACAAGCTGATTTTGGTCCCCCACTACCCTAATTGATCAGAGAATCCCTAGCTTCTTGTTCCCTCTTTATTTCATCTTTTAATCTCAACCACACATCTCAAACACCCTCTTCCCCATAACTCGATCGAATCCACCTTCTCCCTCTCCCACACTTAAAATTTCTGAAATCATCTCTCTCTCTCTTCACCACAAGAAAAATCGATTTTCAATCTCTCTCTAAGTTTTTGCGATTTCATTGTTCTTCATCTTGTTTTGCTTGGGTTTTGTTTACTGCTCTTCAATTCCTCATTCAACAAGGTACTTTTGAAGAAACAAGGTAACAAGGATGACAAACAGTGAGGGAAGTCGCGCTTCACAGAGGAGAATGGTTGAGGGTGAATCAAGCAATGCAAGGGAAAGAAGGCTTAAGATGCAAGCCGATTTGGAGAGGATGATCAGAGGATGGAAGAGTCTGATGCAGAGGAGTATGTGTACTCTGAGGAAGAATCTGAGAGAGAGATTGAGAGGAGAGGAGGACCAAGAAGAGGAATGACCCCATTAGTAGTGAGAGTGAGCAAGGGGAGTTTGAGATTGGAGTGAACCTTGTTCAAGAGGAGGGAAATGGTTCTCCAATGAAGAAGGAAGTGATGAGACTGAGAGTGAAGAGGAGAAGAGGTGAATCAATTGGTTGATGAAGTGAGCAAGAGAACCAAGATGAACCTATGGAGGAGTTGAGCCACAAGAGGCAAGAGGAGGAGGAGAACTCCCTATGTACCAAGAGCATTACAATGCTCTCTTCTCCATGGACTTTGTGGAGACCAAGTACCCACATGTTGACACAATGAAGGCCCTTGGAATCTTTGAGGATGTGGAGCTTTCTCAAGAACATGCACTTGGCCAAGTTTTCTCTTATCACATGGAATCTACAAGGAGCTCACTTGCGAGTTCTTGGCTTCAATGAGGTACCACATGTATGAGAGGAAGATAGAGCTGATTTGGACCAAGGATTGGGATGGATCACGTTCTTGGCTAAGGGAGAGAAGAGAATGGTGACCTTTAGGCAGCTGGAGATCTTGTTTGGGTTCAACTATGGAGAGGGACCAAGTGGAACTTCAAGGAAAAGGAACTCCAAAGGGTTTGGGCTACAATCGCTGATGGAGTGTACTCTTCCTCAAGGTCCAAGGCTGCTCAGATCAGGAGCCCAGTGCTGAGGTATGTGCACAAGGCACTTGCCAACACCTTCTTTGCAAGGAAGGCACCGGGACAATCAATGAGGGGAACTCAAGTTTCTTGACATGGGAATCAAGCCCATTCTCTCACGCACAAGCGATGGCAAGAGGATCAGGGAGATAGATCTGACACAGGGAACTTGATGCCTTTCCTTGACCATCTCCTCACCTACAAGATCACAGCCTACAACACTAGCATCAACGAGGGAGGCGCTAAGTGTTGGAGGGCTCATCACTCCTATCTTGTGTGCTGCTGGAGTAAACCCAACTGATAGGAGAGCCACTGAACCAGGTTGGATGGACATCAAGTTTTGCAAGACCAACCTCCTCATTGAGCACAAGGAGTTGGATGGGAGGTTCCAATTCAAGTTCACACATCCATTGGCTGGACCCTCCAAGCTTCTCCTGCCCAACCCAGAGCTCACCACAGTAGTAGGGGTGAGAACATTGACTTCAGACCCCCTGTGTACACATTAGTTGGGCATGAGGATGATTTGCGAGAAGAGGAGCCTGAGCTCGATCGAGCTGAGGATCGAGCTGAGATCAGGCCAGGAGAGTGCGGATTTGGGTGAGCCTGAGTGCTATTACTTTGAGGAGTATGAGGCTCCAAGGATGAACCCCTCTGTTGTGGCTGCCCACAAGAGGATTGGACTTCTCCAAAAGTTCAACAAATGGCAAGGGAAAGCCATTGAGAAGATGCAAAAGTCCATGGACAAGATGGTGAGCAAGATCAAAAGTTTGGAGAAGAAGGTTTCTGGTTCTTCAAGCAAGAAGAAGAAGTCCAAGGCCCCCACATTCCTAGGAGTAGATCACTCCTCACCACTCCAAGGAGGCTCTCCCTGCCCAAGAGCCTCACAGAGCCTCTTCTTTCGAGCCAAGGGAAGGAGAAGACAACACGCAGAGAAGGAGGAAGAGTTCCAAGGCCAGACGCTCCAGCTCGACCACCGGACTCGATCGAGTCCAAACAGAGGAAACTCAACTCGATCGAGCTGACGGTCGAGTTGACCTGGAGGAGCCCCTGTTTGAGAACCCTGGATTCGAGTACGATCCAACGCTACCAGGACTTCTCCAGACCACTGGACCCCTACAACAGCTTCGAGCAAGCACAGCTCCACCAAGGCCAAGGGAGCCACACACATTTCGATGAAGAAGAGGAGAAGAGGAGCCGCAAGCTCGATCGAGTGAGCGCAAGAGGAACCCAGTTGCAGTGGAGTGCTCCTGATGGCCGTCTACCATCTCCAGACCACGACCTAGCCTCCCAGTTCTTTGGGGGGCACTGAGGTATCCAAACACCAACCCTTGTATATACCATTTCATATTTTCTTGCATTTGTTCTTGTTTTTTCTTGGTTTTGCCCTCTTGAATCTTTCACTAAATTTTTCTCACACAAGGGACTGTGTGATTTAAGTTTGGGGGAGGGTTCAAGAGATGATTTAACCTTGTTTTCTTTGTTCTTAGTTTTTCATTATCTTTTGCATAGAAAAACCAAAAAAATCATAAAATTTTCAAAAAATCCAAAAATATTTTCATCTTTTTGCATTCATATTTGTTAGACTTGTTTAGGATTGCATTTTTCACTTGCATTGTTGATTTGACTTTGAAAACTTGTCCATCTTTTGCGATTTCTTGAGTGCCCTGTTTTTAGATTCTTTTGTGCATTAGGGTGAGATTGATTGAGCAGCAAGAACCATGTTTATCTTGATCATATCACTGCATGCACATCTCATTCAACCATTGCTGTGATTTGATGCATTTCCCTATCTATTTGAACCATAACTTGATCTTTAATTACCAATGCTTGCATTTGATTTCAACTCATGGCTACCACATACATATCTGGACATTCTTTACCTATTTTCATATCCCTTTTGCTTGTCCAGATAGCTGATCTCTATCTTTGAGACAGTTACCACACCTTAAACCTAAGCCTTTTCATTTCAAACCCCATATTATCTCTTGTGCGAATGTGAGAACCTTTCTTGGCTTTGCTTAGCATAAGGTGTTGTGTTTAAACCGGCAGGGGCAGTAGTTCTAGTTGTCTAGTTCTCTTGGGATTGTTTTCAGGCTAAGTTTGGGGGTGCCAACTCGAGCTCGATCGAGTTGGGTGTAAAAACCAGAAAAGTGGTAAAAGTTGGGAAAAATCCAAAGGAAAAAGAAAAGTTAAGTTCCAGGGAGTTAAGTCCAGGGAGTTGGCAGTGTTAAAAAGGGTCTAGTAAAGGTTTGGGAAGTTAAAAAAGGAAAGTAAAAAGGGTTCTAAGTAGAATGAAAAGAAGGCAAAGCCTCAAGTGTCAAAAAGGAAAGAAAAGTTCCCTAAGTGTTTAGAAAATCCCAAACCGCTAGATGTTACCTCAAGAAGCCTCTCCCTAGGATGTTCTTAAAAGAAAAGTGAGCAAAGCTCCTCAGTTTCAAAGGCGAAATGCCAAAAAGGGTAGTTAGGATTTTGTTCTAAAAAGCTCTAAGTGTTGAACTCGATCGAGTTAGGATTAGGCGGCTCGAGCTGCTGTTCTTGCATCATCTTTGGTTCTAACACTTAGCCTTCTGCCAAAGCAAAGCCACTTTCTTGAGAGATCCCTGTTACTAAACCACCATACAAAAGAGACCCTCTTTGTCTCTTAACCCATAAACCCTTGAAACCAAATGAGTTGATTGATCTTGCATGTTTTTGGTTCACTGTTTTTGCTTAATGAATGTTAAAGGGATTTGCTGATTTGAATGCATTGTTTGAGTGACTGTGAAGTGGGATTGATGTTGATAAGCATGGTTAAATCTTAATGAATATCTCTCACCTTGTTGCATTCTAGAATCTCTAAGTTGGACATTTAGCAAATCGCTTTTGAGGACATGTTTTTAAGTGTTGAATCAGCTATTTTCAAACCTCATCTCTTCTTGTTCTATTTGTTTGCTTGAGGGCAAGCAAAGTTCAAGTTTGGGGGTGTTTGTATGTTTTACTTTTTGCATTTTGCATCTTTTGCATAGTTTTAGCTCATCTTTTATGCATCTTTTGCATAGTTTATTTGAGGCGGCTAGGGTTAAGTCGGGCCTTGAAAATATGAAATTGGGCTTCAAAAAGGGTTTCGGGTCGACCGCGGCGTTGGGACGGTCGGTCGGGATGATCGGCCGAACAGTCGGGTCGTGGCCGAGTCGGAACGGTTGTGGCCGGATGGATTCACGGTCGGCCGGCTTGGTCGGGCGGATAGAGATTTGGCCGATGGTTTCTCGGCCGGACGTGGGACGTTCTTTCCCGGCTCGGACGGATGCATCGGCCGTGGTACGCGAAGTGGGTTGCGCGGCCGCGAGGCCTTGTTCCCGGCTCGCGCGGCATGGTCGCGCGCGGCGTGGCGTGGAACGCTTGAAGCTTGGCCGACCGCGGGACAATGTTTCCCGGGTCGTGTTGCATGATCAGCCGGTCGGTTTCGAACTTTGGCCGAGACTTCAGTCGGACGGACATGACTTCAGTCGTTTCTCGGCCAGCCGGACTGCGCGGTTTGGGCGCTGATTCTCGATAGAGCCGTCTGGACAGTCTTCACTCTTTTGGTTGTAACTCCTTTTCTACTCATCCAAATGAAGGCCATTCCAGTTGCGTTGGAAAGTTAACTCAATCAGAGCACGCAGGGAACTGGTCTTGATGAAATCCATTGAGTAGATCTTTTTCTGGGCCCTCTTAAAGTATATGTGCATGGAGCTGCTTGAAGTGCAAATCCTATGGTTTTGCTCCAAAATGCATCATTTCACCTGTTTAGACTCTAGACACTATAAACACAGTAAAACTACCTTTTTAGATAGAAAACCTGCCAAAAACCATTAGAAAACAATGCTAAAACAGTATAAAAAGTGGGTAAATTAGAGGTATATCAACTCCCCCAGACTTAGATAGACCTCTCATATTTGGAACCCCTTTCCTGTCTACTGTGGGTGCCATATTTGATTTCCCCAATCAAAGAATCTCTTTCAACAAGGTGAACAAGGGTATGTTCTTCCCTATGTGTTCAACAAAGAACTCTTTTGTTGACATGGTCCAAGAGGAGAAAGCTACTTTGAAGCCACCCCAAGAAGGAGAAACTGAAGAAACAATCAAGGAAGATCCCATTCCTAAGCCCAAGCAGCTTGCCAAACAAGCAAGGAGTAAGACTAAGGCCCCTACACCAAAACCGCCCAAGGGATCAACCAAGATTGAAGATGAGGCCAAGCCAAGAAGAAGGTTAGAAAACCTAGGTCTGGCCGCAACATGAAGCTTCTATTCCCAGAGGAGCTTATTGATGAGAATCTAGAAGGATTCAAGGAGAAAGTGACAAGAACTCTAAAGCTTTTTCCTAAGGCAGTAGTGCCAAGGGACATTCATGGAGAGATTGTCTATCCAGCTGTGAATCACCCACCAGATACTCATTGCAAGGAGAAAAGACTTGGAGGATCAAGATGCCTCTTGTCTCTATCTTCTCCTGAGCGCCAAGCCTACAGTCAAGCTAAAGACTTAAAACAAGCGCTGCATGGGAGGCAACCCATGAGGTACTTTTACTTTTCTTTCTTTAATTTTCTTAGTTTTTGTTTTGCTTTTGTGTTTTCTTTGTTTTAAGATAGGATAGAAGGAGAAAAAGGTGTGAAAACACAATCCGCGCCAAAACATTGGCCGCGGACGCGCAAAAGTGAATTTTGGCCGAGCAATTCCATCTGGCCGACCGTTACGGTCGAGCCGGGAAGGAATAAGCCGTGCTCGGCCGGATTCACTCTTGCGCGACAAAACCGTTCGCGCACACGCACGAACCGGGAAAGAAGCCGCGATCGGCCGAAATTTTGTATCGGAACGGACCGACCGTGCCGGTCGATCCGGGAAACATACGCTCGGCCTCGGCCGAATTCTCTCGGCCAAAACGAATTTGGCCGACCAAATCGCTCGACCGCGACAAAATCCATCGGCCATCGGCCCAAAACTTTTCTAGGCCAAGGTAAGTCCCCTTTTCATTTAATTCAAACCGGTTTTAACCAATCTAAACCAACTTAAACCGGTTTTCAATCAAAATTCGAATTTGAAAAGGAAAATTGATAGGATTTAGATCTTATTTACTTCACCTTTCCCTTGAAAACCACAAGAACCTCTCTTTCTTCTCCAAAACCCTAAACTCCATTAGAGGAACTCTAAGAGTTTTGATTTCAAAACTTTTACTGTTCATAACTCTAAATTGGAAATTACTTGCTCTTGCAACCTTATTCACTTTTCAACACACAAGGTATGTCTTCTAACTCTAATCCTATGTTTATGCAAGATCGAAAATCTCAATAAGTTTCATGTTTGGTCTAAACTCTTGTCTAGACTTGAAATTAGCATCCTTATAGTCTTGTAATGAACTTGCTAGGTGGAACCTAGGTGGTTTAGAGTTAATTTGAAGTTTAATTTCACAATTGAATAGTTTTTCACAAAACTTATTGGGCATTCCAAACCCCTTATTCAAAGGTGAAATTGCTTAGGCATACTTCAATTCATTAGTTTATCTAGTGATTACTTGGATTAGAAACTCAATTTCTCTTGATTTGCTGAAAATTTTGATTTTAAGCACCATAATCTTGGGATGAACAGTAAAATCCGAAAATTAATTTTGAAAAAGTGAAATTTCTATTTTGTCTCTTTGATTCATGATTAAGCCTTGAGTTGTTCCTTTATTCCATATCATTATTGCAACTCAATTAGCTTATTCTTCTTTTGCATTAATCACAAACTCATATTTCTTCCCAAGAATTTGCTCTTGTAGGTACACAATGGCAAAGACAAAAGGAAATGAGAGTATGAAGAAGAAGAAGAACCCATTCATGCAACCACCAAAGAAGCAAATCAAGCTAGGGAGTAGTAGCTCCAATGCAAGAGCAGAAATACCAACTTCCCCACATTCCATTGATGCAAGTCAAGAACATGTGGAGAGTCCAAGAAGAGGAGAAGATGATTGGGCACTTGTAACTTTTGTTGGAGAACAA